CGTCAAACTAGCTGTGGTATCGTCAAACTAGCTGTGGTATCGTCAAACTACTGAGATATCGTTAAACTAGCTGTAGTATCGTTAAACTAGCTATGGTATCGTTAAACTAGCTGTGGTATCGTCAAACTAGCTGTGGTGTTGTCAAACTAGCTGTGGTATCGTCAAACTAGCTGTGGTATCGTCAAACTAGCTGTAGTATCGTTAAACTAGCTGTGGTATCGTTAAACTAGCTGTGGTATCGTCAAACTAGCTGTGGTGTTGTCAAACTACTGTGATATCGTTAAACTAGCTGTAGTATCGTTAAACTAGCTATGGTATCGTTAAACTAGCTGTGGTATCGTCAAACTAGCTGTGGTGTTGTCAAACTACTGTGATATCGTTAAATTAGCTGTGGTATCGTTAAACTAGCTGTGGTATCGTCAAACTAGCTGTGGTATCATCAAACTAGCTGTGGTATCGTTAAACTAGCAGTGGTATCGTTAAACTAGCTGTGGTATCATCAAACTAGCTGTGGTATCATCAAACTAGCTGTGGTATCGTCAGCCCAAACTAGCTGTGGTATCGTCAAACTAGTTGTGGTATCGTTAAACTAACCCGTGGTATCGTCAAACTAGCTATGGTATCGTCAAACTACTGTGATATCGTTAAAATAGCTGTGGTATCGTCAAACTAGCTGTGGTATCGTTAAACTAGCTGTGGTATCGTTAAACTAGCTGTGGTATCGTTAAACTAGCTGTGGTATCGTTAAACTAGCTGTGGTATCGTCAAACTAGCTGTGGTATCGTTAAACTAGCTGTGGTATCGTTAAACTAGCTGTGGTATCATCAAACTAGCTGTGGTATCGTCAAACTAGCTGTGATATCGTTAAATTAGCTGTGGTATCGTCAAACTAGCAGAGGTATCGTCAGCCCAAACTAGCTGTGGTATCGTTAAACTACTGTGATATCGTTAAATTAGCTGTGGTATCGTTAAACTAGCTGTGGCATCGTTAAACTAGCTGTGGTATCGTCAAACTAGCTGTGGTATCATCAAACTAGCTGTGGTATCGTTAAACAAGCTGTGGTATCGTCAAACTACTGTGATATCGTTAAATTAGCTGTGATATCGTTAAACTAGCTGTGGTATCGTCAAACTAGCTGTGGTATCGTCAAACTACTGTGATATCGTTAAATCAGCTGTAGTATCGTTAAACTAGCTGTGGTATCGTTAAACTAGCTGTGGTATCGTCAAACTAGCTGTGGTGTTGTCAAACTACTGTGATATCGTTAAACTAGCTGTAGTATCGTTAAACTAGCTATGGTATCGTTAAACTAGCTGTGGTATCGTCAAACTAGCTGTGGTGTTGTCAAACTACTGTGATATCGTTAAATTAGCTGTGGTATCGTTAAACTAGCTGTGGTATCGTCAAACTAGCTTTGGTATCATCAAACTAGCTGTGGTATCGTTAAACTAGCAGTGGTATCGTTAAACTAGCTGTGGTATCATCAAACTAGCTGTGGTATCATCAAACTAGCTGTGGTATCGTCAGCCCAAACTAGCTGTGGTATCGTCAAACTAGTTGTGGTATCGTTAAACTAACCCGTGGTATCGTCAAACTAGCTATGGTATCGTCAAACTACTGTGATATCGTTAAAATAGCTGTGGTATCGTCAAACTAGCTGTGGTATCGTTAAACTAGCTGTGGTATCGTTAAACTAGCTGTGGTATCGTTAAACTAGCTGTGGTATCGTTAAACTAGCTGTGGTATCGTCAAACTAGCTGTGGTATCGTTAAACTAGCTGTGGTATCGTTAAACTAGCTGTGGTATCATCAAACTAGCTGTGGTATCGTCAAACTAGCTGTGATATCGTTAAATTAGCTGTGGTATCGTCAAACTAGCAGAGGTATCGTCAGCCCAAACTAGCTGTGGTATCGTTAAACTACTGTGATATCGTTAAATTAGCTGTGGTATCGTTAAACTAGCTGTGGCATCGTTAAACTAGCTGTGGTATCGTCAAACTAGCTGTGGTATCATCAAACTAGCTGTGGTATCGTCAAACTAGCTGTGGTGTTGTCAAACTACTGTGATATCGTTAAACTAGCTGTGGTATCGTTAAACTAGCTATGGTATCGTTAAACTAGCTGTGGTATCGTCAAACTAGCTGTGGTGTTGTCAAACTACTGTGATATCGTTAAATTAGCTGTGGTATCGTTAAACTAGCTGTGGTATCGTCAAACTAGCTGTGGTATCATCAAACTAGCTGTGGTATCGTTAAACTAGCAGTGGTATCGTTAAACTAGCTGTGGTATCATCAAACTAGCTGTGGTATCATCAAACTAGCTGTGGTATCGTCAGCCCAAACTAGCTGTGGTATCGTCAAACTAGTTGTGGTATCGTTAAACTAACCCGTGGTATCGTCAAACTAGCTATGGTATCGTCAAACTACTGTGGTATCGTCAAACTAGCTGTGGTATCGTTAAACTAGCTGTGGTATCGTTAAACTAGCTGTGGTATCGTTAAACTAGCTGTGGTATCGTTAAACTAGCTGTGGTATCGTCAAACTAGCTGTGGTATCGTCAGTGATCCACCAAGTTAACAAGCAATTGAACAACCTTCAGTTTGTTTACAAGATCTGTCTGCTACGCAAAGGCGTAGCGAGGGCGGGGCGAGGGTGCGGGCCGCAATGAGTGACACCATTTAGGAGGGTGACACCAAGGCCAAAAAAATGCCAAATTTTCAGAAGAAAATTAGTCATTATTAATTGATGTCAATATTACTAGATCTATGTTCAAGTTGGGGAAAAAAACAACAGCAGCGTTTTGGTAATAAGCTTGTACGTAATAGTACACTAACAAGGAGAAAGTCAGTGAAAAACGGGGGTCGCTATAGTATGATATATTTAATACCTTTACTAGAATTAAAAAATCGACCCACATTTTTTCTTTTTACTTATTAAATAGTAAATCTTTATTATATAGCAGCAGTGAGCTGTATGGACGGTCGACTAGCTGTACATGGACGGTCGACTAGCTGTATGGACGGTCGACTAGCTGTATGGACGGTCGACTAGCTGTATGGACGGTCGACTAGCTGTATGGACGGTCGACTAGCTGTATGGACGGTCGACTAGCTGTATGGACGGTCGATCAGAATGGTTGTTTTACATCAAATATTGAATGGTACTGATTGCTTTGAAAATTTAAATATCTAGTGTCTAGTGCATCTTTAGAATTTCTAATTACTAAAATGTAGAAAATAAAACAAATATAGGGTAATAAAACAACTTAAAAATAAGCTTTATTATTCACTGAAACAAATTAAAAAACGCTTATTGTTTACTAAATTGATTGCCCATAAATCTTCTAAAACCGTTTGGCCAGTGGCGTCACTAGGGCAGGTGTCACCCCCTCGCCCAAAAGAAATAAAGTATATATATATATATATATATATATATATATATATAGGTGTGTGTGTCGGCCTACATAGGCCTATAATTTAAATATATGCGACTTACGCGTACATGTATGTGTATAAGCTTTAATCACTGAAGACTTAATAGTAACGATTTTTATCTAAAGTCTGTTAATAATATAGTTGGTTGTAGTATTGTTTTCTCTATAGTTAGCACCCCTCCCTCTTGCAATAATTATCAATTTGTACTAAAAGACTATTTAACTTTAATTAATCATTAATGGATCTGGCAAAAAAGCTAATTAGCATTAAGAGGCGTGCTAGACGTGGGTGCCTATGCCGTGTATCCTGTCTAAAAATAGTTCCACTCTGTTAATCCTAAATCTAACCCTGAGCCTGTTCTTAAGTCCTTGTCCAGAAGAGTTCCTGTCATATTTCAGCCTTATCAGATAGCTTGCGATACCGCCTAGATAGCACACGATACCACCTAGACAGCACGCGATACCGCCTAGATAGCACGCAATACCGCCTATACAGTACACGATACCGCCCAGATAGCACGATACCGAATAGATAGCACACGATACCGAATAGATAGCACGCGATACCGCATAGATAGCACGCGATACCGCCCAGATAGCACACGATACCGCCTAGATAGCACACGATACCGCCTAGATATAAATCAGATAAAGTTGCAATAAAAGCTGTCAAGCAGGAGAGACTAAATGTAAGCACTTCATTTCTCAAGATGGCGGCTGTCAACAGGAATCTGTGCCAGCACTTTAGTTAGGCGAGTGTGTCACACCCACAAAACGTGCTTGGTTGTTTACATGTAGGTATGAAGGGGTGGGGGTTGGTGTAGTGTTTGTCACAGGGTCGGGTGGGGGGTGACTCGTGTATTTCTCAGGCTGTGAGAGGGGTAGGGGTACACTGAAGTGGCCTCAAGTTTTAATATCCTCACCTGGTCTAGTATACACCACAACACCTTTGTGCTACATTGGTGTTTGTAGGTGACAGGCTAACAAACCATACACAAAACCTTTGTGCTACATTGGTGTCTGTAGGTGATTGACTAATACGCCGTACGCTGACGTGTGGAATCGATTTCCATTTTGCACGCTTCATTGCACCTGTCACGGTCCATAGATTATTTGATTAAAATCTCAGCCAATTACGCTTGTAAACAAATGAGTCAGACACACACATACATACTTACAGACACACACACTTACAGACACACGCACATACTTACAGAAACACACACACACACACTTACAGACACACACACACTTACAGACACACGCACACACACATACAGACACACACACTTACAGACACACAAACACACTTACAGACACACGTACACCCGCATGCAGTCACAAGGTTAGTTTAGATGCTAGTATATCACTAAGTTCTACTGTCTCAATGTACTAATATTAGTCCTATAATGTCCTATTATGAGTCCTACAATGTCCTTATGTTAGAAAAAAATTGAATATACCAAGCATAAATGTAAGGAATGTTTTCAAAAATTACCTTATTTCATATATATATATATATATATACAGGCCTATATATACTATATATACACACACACACACACACACACATATATATATATATATATATATATATATATATATATATATATATATATATATAGCATTTGTCAGGACACAAATATGACATTTAGTAACATGGCATTTGATAACATGGCATTTGGTAACATGGCATTTGGTAGCATGGCATTTGGTAACATGACATTTGGTAACAACTGAGTTGGACATGAACCTACACAATACAGTTTAAAACATCTTTCTCAAATTGGCTCCACCCAAAGATGTCCAAGTCGATCTGGAACTTGCGGAACAGTTCCAGCCAGATTGGTGCGCGGACGTCCGAGAAGAAGCGAGACTTGTATCCGTCCCTCCAGCTCCGTAGGTCAGCCTCGTCCTGACCCTGCGCTCTGGCCCGCCTCAGCTGCTCCAGCAGGTCTCTCTTGACGTCACTCAGGCTGATGAGGTCAGGCAGCCTGTAGCCCGAGGAGGGGGGGATGTAGCCCTTCCAGAGGAAACTGTGCCAGAGCCTGTAGGCGAGTTCCCGGGGTGTCAGACAGGTGGACAGGAACACGCTGTGGGAGACACGTGAGAAGTGGTACTCAACCAGCATGTGCATTTCCTCGCTCACCTGTGGGGAGACATTGGCCCTGTAGGGATGTCATAGCTGATATGTGTGTATATATATATGTATACATATGTATATATATATATACATACACATCAAATCCACACATCAAATCACACACAACACACAGCCTTTCGCGGTCAACATTTTATGTTGCTAACATTGACAGCGGCAAGACATAGACACTTTTGATGAGACAGTGAGACACTTTTGATGAGACACAGAGACACTTTTGATGAGACACAGAGACACTTTTGATGAGACAGTGAGACACTTTTGATGAGACACAGAGACACTTTTGATGAGACACAGAGACACTTTTGATGAGACACAGAGACACTTTTGATGAGACACAGAGACACTTTTGATGAGACACAGAGACACTTTTGATGAGACATAGAGACACTTTTGATGAGAGACAGAGACACTTTTGATGAGACACATAGACACTTTTGAGACACAGAGACACTTTTGATGAGACACAGAGACACTTTTGATGAGAGACAGAGACACTTTTGATGAGACACATAGACACTTTTGAGACACATAGACACTTTTGATGAGACACAGAGACACTTTTGATGAGAGACAGAGACACTTGATGAGACACAGAGACACTTTTGATGAGACACACAGACACTTTTGATGAGACACAGAGACACTTTTGATGAGACACAGAGACACTTGATGAGACACAGAGACACTTTTGATGAGAAACACAGACACTTTTGATGAGACACAGAGACACTTTTGATGAGACAGAGACACTTTTGATGAGACACAGAGACACTTTTGATGAGACACAGAGACACTTTTGATGAGAGACAGAGACACTTTTGATGAGACACAGAGACACTTTTGATGAGAGACAGAGACACTTTTGATGTGAGACAGAGACACTTTTGATGAGACACAGAGACACTTTTGATGAGAGACAGAGACACTTGATGAGACAGAGAGACACAAGGAGACCTGTTCTGCCACAGATGCGGCAAGAAAGTCGCTGATGCCTCTGGTCTGTAGAAGATGGCGTGTGTCTTGGGTAAAGGTGTCCATGTTGATGATGTGTGTGGGCAGGAACTTGCAGGGGTCGCACAGCTGGTGCAGGGGTCGCCAGTGGGGCTCGGGGTCGTACATGCTGGACACGAGGAACTCTGTGAAGGTCAGGTACTTGCCGCAGGCTGAGTCGCTCGTCTGCTGCTCGCCGAACTTTGATTTCATCTCGACAAAATGGCGCCTCATAAAGTCGCCGGCACCGACCGGGTCCGGCTGAGACCATTTACACGTCCGGTTTTTGCCCTCCCCAGTTTTTTCAACTTTTTGTTGATCTATTCCTTGTACCATTTCCATAAAAGTTTGGCCGTAATCTTCCCAAAAATCTGGCAAGTAGAATTTGTCCAAGTACGAGGCCAGCAGACGATCAAACGGATCTCTGTACACAAGGACGCGTGTTGGGTAATGATCAGGGCCGTGAACTCGCTCGTCGTATTGTGTCCCCTGACTGGTGGGTAATTGATGAATTACTTCCCTTGGAATGTCAAAGTCGTCACGGGATCTATTTTTTCCACCCTACAACAAATACATCTCATTACATCTTATTACATCTCATTACATGTGTGATGACGCAAGATTACGTCAGACATGTTTAGCAGATATAGGTTAGCAGAAACAGACTATCTATAGGCCTAGTTGGTTGGTCAGATAGAGGCCAATGGGCGCACAGGACTGACCGGTCACGTGGGACGGTCAGCTGACCACTGAGGCGTGGGTCAGTAGTAGAGCGATAGGCCAGGAGCTGTTAGGTAGCGGTCGGAGACGGCCGAGGAATGTAGACAGTTAGGTAGATCATGATTAGCTAGCGAGGTAGAAGGTGTTAGATTGTAGAATGTAGAGAACAGTTAGTGTTAGGATTGGTCGTGGGAGTTAGTAGTATAGTGAACAGTCAGTAGTAGAAGTAAATAGTACAGTGTAGATCAGTTAGGTAGAAACTTGAACATATATATCATTTTAATAAAGAACAATTATAGTTGAACTTGAACTGCGTGTTGTTGGATTCATTCGTTACCGCCTTCTTAAAACCCCCACCCTCACATCTGGTGGAGCGCGGGTCGAGGACAGGAAAGACAGTATATTGGTTACTCATGACGGAGTGTACTGGTGTACAGCTTTCTTAACTCAACACAACAGAGGGTTTCTTCAACCGGAACGAGTTTGGATTACCAACACAAGGGAACAGTCAACATGTCCAAAAAGATAAGTACCTTCCAAAATTTTTTTAAACGTTTGGGTTTAGACTCGTGCTGGATATTTGGTACCAGCGGTTTTTCTGCCTCTTTCTTATCTGTTTCTTCAACCACACTACCCTTAAAAATGCCTCCATTGTACGAAGTGGGCACTAAAACTGAGCTTAAGTCAGGCCTAGAAGAGTCAGGTAGAATTGATAACTCGTTACTAGATATAAATGTTCAGAATACAGTCAAAGTGAAAAGCAATTCAAGAACTATTGAGGATCCAGATATTCTGGATGAATTGATTATTAGGCTTGGACAATACACGACAACAGAAAATCGAGACTGGTTATTAACTGTTAAAGAATTTGACGTAAAAACTCTAGATGATCCAGATGCTATGGAAGATTTGATCAATAGAATTGTAGATTACAAGGTATTCGGAGATCCAGATTCCTTGTTGACTGAAGAAGAATATGATGCAAAGATAGATGCCGAGTTAGCAGAGAAACAAAGAGAAGCAGAAACATATATTGCCGGACTTAAAGAAGAAACAGAAAGAATTCGTAAAGAAAGAGAAAAATTGAGAGAACTTTGCCAAGCCAAACAAGAAACGGTGCAAAGTTTAGATACTAATAATAACAACCAGACAGCTGAAACAACATTTTACTATTCCTACGATTCAGATTCAGATGACACGTTCAGTGAAGCAAGCGAAATACCTACTACAAAAAGTGAAACACTACATACACTCCAAAAACATAATAGCGCAAATCACAACATTCAGATTAACTACAGTCAACAAAAACACAATTACAGTGTCAGATGCTACTATTGTAATAGAACAGGCCACAAACAAATAAATTGCAGAATACGATATTATGATAGACGCCAACAAGATGCACAACGCAACAGACCAAAATATAGACAGATTAATAGAATAGCATTTATGTCATCGTTTACAGAAGCCAGTAAAAGAACAGACACATTTACGTCAAAAATTAATAACAGATACGCCACAGCAATTAGGGACACACACTGCTCAACAGTGGCAGTACGTAACACATTCGTACAACACCACCAATACACAGGCAGAACACAACGTGTTCACAGTTCAAGAGGCAGCACATATGTTTGGCCAACAGCTATAGTCACCATAGCCACACCCTCAGCGTGTAAAACAGTTGAAGCAGCTGTTTTCAAAAACGGGCCATACGATATGATATTAGGCAACATTACAGTAGTGAAGCAGTTTAATGTAGAATGTATGAGCTACAAGCAACAAATAAACAAGCTGCCCAGCATTCGAGACAAAGAAAAAGTAGAAGAATTGCAATTCAAAACGGACAAGTTGATAGAAAAAGTTAACGAGATTATTGGGGATCATTCTATAAAGACTACCGAGATTGGTGCAGATGTTCTTAACTTAGGGATGCAGAACGAAACAGTCAGTAATAGATTGCTGAGATTAGAGAAATCAGTAAACAATGAATCAGAGGAATATGTAACAAGGAATTTGATAGCAGACAAACAGTACTGTTACTCCTGGTCAGCCTTAAACCAGATGACCCCATCAACACACCTACACAAACACAAGTATGGTAATCATAGACCATATGAAAGCTCACAACACCTTTGTCCACACCGAGCCCCGCCCTATCGGTCCTAGTGTGGTATATTAATGCCTGGATAGAATTTGACCCGGACCGTCTCCATAAATGATTTTGAACAACGGACATAATAGTGAAGTCAAGTCGAGTTTTTGTGTTGATCTAAGTAGTCGAGAAAATCGGCGTGAAGTCGATATAGATCTAGTTGAAGTCGAAGTCAGTGTAGTCAAATCTGAAGTCAATAGTATTATTGAAGTCAGTGAAGTATAAGTCAGAACTGAAGTCAAAGAAGTTATTTGAAGTCAGTCAAGTCAGTCAATGTTGTTAAAGTCGTATTTGAGGTCATAGTGACGTTGTTGAAGTCATGTTGCAGTCAAAGAAAAGTCTTTGAAGTCATATTGAAGTTGTTGATGTCAAAGTGAAGTCTTTGAAGTCACATTGAAGTTGTTGAAGTCAAAGTGAAGTATTTGAAGTCATATTGAAGTCGTTGAAGTCAAGGAAAAGTCATTGAAGTCAAAGTGAAGACGTTTAAGTCGTCGAAGTTTAAGTCAGTCAGTGAAGTCTTTTAAGTTGAATTGAAGTCAGTCAGTGAAATCTGTCGTCTAGGTCAAGTTAGTCGGCAAATGGAAGTAGTTGAAATCGTCGAAGTAAAGTTAATCGTGAATGGGAAATAAGTCGTAAATTGAAGTCAGTGAAGTTACCGAAGTCAGTTAAAGTGAAATAAGTCAAGTTACTGAAGTCAAAAGTGAAGTCAGTCATTAAGTCAAGCCAGCCAGTTTTTGTCAGAAGTCAGATAGTGAGAGCTGCTCCACTATATGATTACGTGTTCAAATGTTATTTGAAACGGCACGATTATTTATATACACTCACATTTCTATTCTTTTTGTGAAGCTATTTCTAAGCTCTTGTAGTGTTTACGTCTATTGAGTTTATTAGGCTTTACAGATTGCTGTTAGATTAGAGTGTACTGATTTTTTTGTATTTGGTCATGTTTTGTAATGTTATATTTGTAATGTTATTTTCTTAATGTTGTTATGCCGCCAGACAAATGTTCAGCACGTTTAAATTTGGGATTGAGGTTTTTATTTAATGGAAGGTACCTCTGTCTGAATACTTGTCTGCGCGGGCAATAAAAAGTCCACGTAAAACCATTGCTCATGGTCTCGTAATACAATTTCAGACCCACTACGCTTATTCAGAATGAGACGAGATGAAGCAGACACTTCAAAGAATGCCGCCACCTGAAGCCCTGATTACGTTGAGTTACCTGGACAGCGAACAGCCCTGCTTAACAGAGAATTGCCCTGGTCAAGACAGCGGACGCATCGCCACCGCTTCGCCCCCGCACTGGGGTTGAATAACAGACCGCCAGCTACGTACACCTACGTCGGCAGATACAAAGGGTAGAAATCCCATCGTCCAAGATCCCAGCGTCGGAATGTTACGTCATTGTTCGCCACCGCATCAGACAGCTCCAGTTCATCGTATAACCACTCTGCGTGGACGTCTCAACCAGCGTTGAGATGAGATTGTTGCGTCATCACATTGACCAACGAAGTTACGCATACACGAAGTTACGTCTACACCCGCCTCACGGGAATTTACATCAAAACTCGCCACAAACCACCCACCACAGAGGAACGCCAGCAATTACATAACACTTACACATACACTTACACTGCTCGCAGAGCCCGTTCAACCAGTTACACATTCTACTAAGATTAGCTCAAGGCCAGTACACGACAACCTAGCCAGAACTGAGTTACACATGATTAGATTCAATCAAACCATAACATAGACATACATTATCAAGCAGAGACACCACAGACGTCAGGATACTTACACAAAAACTAGAACAATGACATTTTTTTTTTCAGGAACACAGACACAAGATTTTATGTTTTTGTAAACTGTGCTGTCCCATTTTGTATTTGATTTATATGATTGATGTTAGGGATAGAATAGAGTAGTAAGATAGATAGTTGTTGATGTATTAGATTAGTAGCAGACGCTGAAAAATATAATTTGTCAGCTACAGAAAGGGAGGGAGATATGTGATGACGCAAGATTACGTCAGACATGTTTAGCAGATATAGGTTAGCAGAAACAGACTATCTATAGGCCTAGTTGGTTGGTCAGATAGAGGCCAATGGGCGCACAGGACTGACCGGTCACGTGGGACGGTCAGCTGACCACTGAGGCGTGGGTCAGTAGTAGAGCGATGGGCCAGGAGTTGTTAGGTAGCGGTCGGAGACGGCCGAGGAATGTAGACAGTTAGGTAGATCATGATTAGCTAGCGAGGTAGAAGGTGTTAGATTGTAGAATGTAGAGAACAGTTAGTGTTAGGATTGGTCGTGGGAGTTAGTAGTATAGTGAACAGTCAGTAGTAGAAGTAAATAGTACAGTGTAGATCAGTTAGGTAGAAACTTGAACATATATATCATTTTAATAAAGAACAATTATAGTTGAACTTGAACTGCGTGTTGTTGGATTCATTCGTTACCGCCTTCTTAAAACCCCCACCCTCACAACATGTTATTACATATCATTACATTTCATTACATCTTATTACATCTCATTACAGGCTATTACATCTCATTACATGCTATTACATCTTATTACATCTCATTACATCTTATTACATATAATTACATATCATTACATCTCATTACATTTCATTACATCTTATTACATCTTATTATATCTCTTTACATCTTATTACATCTCGATATATTACTATTGACCTGCCTGTCAACATCTGACCTGCCTGTCAACAACTGACCTGCATGTCAACAACTGACCTGCCTGTCACAACTGACCTGCCTGTCAACAACTGACCTGCCTGTCAACAAATGACCTGTCTGTCAACAACTGACCTGCCTGTCAACAACTGACCTGCCTGTCAACAACTGACCTGCCGGTCAACAACTGACCTGCCTGTCAACATCTGACCTGCCTGTCAACAGCTGACCTGCCTGTCAACAACTGACCTGCCTGTCAACATCTGACCTGCCTGTCAACAGCTGACCTGCCTGTCAACATCTGACCTGCCTGTCAACATCTGACCTGCCTGTCAACATCTGACCTGCCTGTCAACATCTGACCTGCCTGTCAACTACTGACCTGCCTGTCAAGAACTGACCTGCCTGTCAACATCTGACCTGCCTGTCAACTACTGACCTGCCTGTCAACAACTGACCTGCCTGTCAACATCTGACCTGCCTGTCAACATCTGACCTGCCTGTCAACATCTGACCTGCCTGTCAACAACTGACCTGCCTGTCAACAACTGACCTGCCTGTCAACAACTGACCTGCCTGTCAACATCTGACCTGCCTGTCAACATCTGACCTACCTGTCAACAACTGACCTGCCTGTCAACAACTGACCTGCCTGTGTAAAGACTCAAACAGCCGCTTCCAGTACGTGCAGCCCGCCTTGGGCACCAGACAGTAGACGAGCCCGGACCTGTCGTCTGTCAACACACTCCCCACCCGCCCCAGCCCCTCCCAGTTGTTTCTCCTCGCGCAGGCGTCCCGTACCGACCGTCTGCGCTGCAGAAACTCTGGGCCGGATGTGGCCGACCCTAACTCTGGGCCGGATGTGGCCGACCCTGCTCTGGTCCAGGCAGTTCTTCTCTCCCCTGAGACGCCATCTTGCCCGAGTAGGTGCTCTACGGGAAAGCAATGGGATTAGGTCAATGTTAGGTCAATGTTAGGTCAGTCGTAGGTCAATGCTAGGTCAGTCGTAGGTCAATGCTAGGTCAGTCGTAGGTCAATGTTAGGTCAGTCGTAGGTCAATGTTAGGTCAGTCGTAGGTCAATGTTAGGTCAGTCGTAGGTCAATGTTAGGTCAGTCGTAGGTCAATGCTAGGTCAGTCGTAGGTCAATGCTAGGTCAGTCGTAGGTCAATGCTAGGTCAGTCGTAGGTCAATGATAGGTCAGTCGTAGGTCAATGTTAGGTCAATGTTAGGTCAATGTTAGCTCAATGTTAGGTCAGTCGTAGGTCAATGTTAGCTCAATGTTAGGTCAGTCGTAGGTCAATGCTAGGTCAGTCGTAGGTCAATGCTAGGTCAGTCGTAGGTCAATGCTAGGTCAGTCGTAGGTCAATGTTAGGTCAATGTTAGGTCAATGTTAGGTCAATGTTAGCTCAATGTTAGGTCAGTCGTAGGTCAATGTTAGGTCAATGTTAGGTCAGTCGTAGGTCAATGTTAGCTCAATGTTAGGTCAGTCGTAGGTCAATGTTAGCTCAATGTTAGGTCAGTCGTAGGTCAATGTTAGGTCAGTCGTAGGTCAATGTTAGGTCAGTCGTAGGTCAATGTTAGGTCAGTCGTAGGTCAATGTTAGGTCAGTCGTAGGTCAATGTTAGGTCAGTCGTAGGTCAATGTTAGGTCAGTCGTGGGTCAATGTTAGGTCAGTCGTAGGTCAATGTTAGGTCAGTGTTAGGTCAGTCGTGGGTCAATGTTAGGTCAGTCGTAGGTCAATGTAAGGTCAATGTAAGGTCAGTGCTGGGCCAGTCAGCTAATGGTTATGAAGGGTAAACAACGAAATGACATGTTTGATGTTGGCCATCCATGTCACATCTCACACTGACAGATGACACTGTCACGTGACAAACAATGTATTACCCAGGTAGTGATGCGTGCTTCTATATATAGCTGCCGGCCCAGTTTTGTAGACAGTTGCCATGGAGATGAGCAGGACAGAAGTCAGTAAGAAAAACTGCTTGTAAAATCTGTACCTGATTGGCGCCATCTTGTTTCGGCTGATAATCTAATCAAGACAAAAATAGAAAGTGTATACCTCCTCAAAGGTCAAGGTCAGAGAAAATTACATGTGGCCAGTGGTTAAAAGTGGCCCGTGGTTAAAAGTGGCCCGCACATGTGGCCAGTGGTTAAAAGTGGCCCGCACATGTGGCCAGTGGTTAAAAGTGGCCCGTACATGTGGCCAGTGGTTAAAAGTGGCCCGCACATGTGGCCAGTGGTTAAAAGTGGCCAGTGGTTAAAAGTGGCCCGTACATGTGGCCAGTGGTTAAAAGTGGCCAGTGGTTAAAAGTGGCCCGTACATGTGGCCAGTGGTTAAAAGTGGCCAGTGGTTAAAAGTGGCCCGTACATGTGGCCAGTGGTTAAAAGTGGCCCGTACATGTGGCCAGTGGTTAAAAGTGGCCCGTACATGTGGCCAGTGGTTAAAAGTGGCCAGTGGTTAAAAGTGGCCCGTACATGTGGCCAGTGGTTAAAAGTGGCCCGTACATGTGGCCAGTGGTTAAAAGTGGCCCGCACATGTGGCCAGTGGTTAAAAGTGGCCCGTACATGTGTCAGTGGTTAAAAGTAGCCCGTACATGTAGCCAATGGTTAAAAGTAGCCCGTACATGTAGCCAATGGTTAAAAGTGGCCCGTACATGTGGCCAGTGGTTAAAAGTGGCCCGTACATGTGGCCAGTGGTTAAAAGTGGCCCGTACATGTGGCCAGTGGTTAAAAGTGGCCAGTACATGTGGCCAGTGGTTAAAAGTGGCCCGTACATGTGGCCAGTGGTTAAAAGTGGCCCGTACATGTGGCCAGTGGTTAAAAGTGGCCCGTACATGTGGCCAGTGGTTAAAAGTGGCCCGTACATGTGGCCAGTGGTTAAAAGTGGCCCGTACATGTGGCCAGTGGTTAAAAGTGGCCCGCACATGTGGCCAGTGGTTAAAAGTGGCCCGTACATGTGGCCAGTGGTTAAAAGTGGCCAGTGGTTAAAAGTGGCCCGTACATGTGGCCAGTGGTTAAAAGTGGCCCGTACATGTGGCCAGTGGTTAAAAGTGGCCAGTGGTTAAAAGTGGCCCGTACATGTGGCCAGTGGTTAAAAGTGGCCAGTGGTTAAAAGTGGCCCGTACATGTGGCCAGTGGTTAAAAGTGGCCAGTGGTTAAAAGTGGCCCGTACATGTGGCCAGTGGTTAAAAGTGGCCCGTACATGTGGCCAGTGGTTAAAAGTGGCCCGTACATGTGGCCAGTGGTTAAAAGTGGCCAGTGGTTAAAAGTGGCCCGTACATGTGGCCAGTGGTTAAAAGTGGCCCGTACATGTGGCCAGTGGTTAAAAGTGGCCAGTGGTTAAAAGTGGCCCGTACATGTGGCAAGTGGTTAAAAGTGGCCAGTGGTTAAAAGTGGCCCGTACATGTGGCCAGTGGTTAAAAGTGGCCCGTACATGTGGCCAGTGGTTAAAAGTGGCCAGTGGTTAAAAGTGGCCCGTACATGTGGCCAGTGGTTAGAAGTGGCCCGTACATGTGGCTTAGTGGTTAAAAATGTGCTAAAAGAAAAACGAATTACCTGCCAGGCTTCTGTGTACCAAGTCTCTCAGTGGATCTCATCAAGATGTGGTCTGGTGTGGAGCAGTAAAGCGGGGGGGGGGGGGGGGGGGAAGAGGGAGGAGTTGTGGAAGGAGGAGTGGGGGGTGTGTCCGACGTCAACCAACTGAATGTATACACAACATCCCTCACATCATAATAAAATCTGCATGTCCGTGTGTGAACACGATAAATTTTGTGAGGTCGAAATTTGATATATCAGTATTAACTCCTACACTTAGCTTTATTCCAACTTTTCAGCGTATTCCGGTAACCAGAAATGTTTTTTTTAATTTCCAGTTTCTCCAAAAAACTTTGATACTTCTGTAGAGTATTCTCATAAAGCAATTTATTCTAAGAAATTTTCCCATCTGCGATCCATGTGATTCTCGGAAAATGAGCACATAGGCAACAAACGTAGCTACCATTTCTACACCATTCGTTTGATCACCATAAAACTTCAGGAGTTTGCTAAGTAGAATAAAATAAGTTGACATCAAAATATTAACATCGGATGAGGGGGGGGGGCGCCCCGGGGGTGGTGCGTAGTGATCGTGTGACCCGGAGCGCCCTACACCAGGGATAGAGTGCGGGACTATAATAGATAACTAATTTGAATGGGGCGGTACTAGGCGCCCCTAGGGTATTTTAACGCTGCTCCCGATAGAGTTATGAGACGCCCCCGACCCCTGGCTGGCCTCACCCACAGTAGATCACGTGATCACGTCCAATGGCTGGGTCTAGTTTCTGCGTAAAATCACGCACTGTTGTTTGTAAGGTCGACATTTTCCCTCCCTCCTGCTGCAGACGACGGGAGTTATTTGCCCTTAGACAACAAAAATGGCGGTCAAGAGTTGGTTCCATCTGACTATTGGGCTGGAGGAAAATTGTATGAGCAAAAATTGGCAGGATTTAGTTTTTTAACTTAAAAAATTAATTGATTTGAAAATGAACATCAAACTGAGCAGATTTGCTAAAATATTCAGAATTGTTAGTATTAAATTAAAATTGTCGTACAAAGGGAATCCACCCAGTTAATATTTCCGCAAAATCCAACTTAGCTTAGTTGTCTCCCATTACTACAAATTTATAAATATCTTGCACCGAAGGAAACTTTTATCCCTCATATTAACCAGCGAACATTTCCTTGATTTGGACATTGGCCAGCCAGTTTGCCCCTGCCAACAAATTTATATTTACCCAATAATATTTTGTCATTAAATATTTTTTTGTAGGCTTTATCTGGGTGAACCAGCTGAACTGGTGAAAACTTTACAAGCAGAGAAAAGTCTTGATCTAATTAAAACTTTACAAGCAGAGAAAAGTCTTGATCTAGTTAAAACTTTACCAACCAAAGGAAAGTCTTGATCTAATTAAAACTTTACCAACCAAAGGAAAGACTTGATCTAATTAAAACTTTACCTTTACCAACCAAAGAAAAGTCTTGATCTAATTAAAACTTTACCAACCAAAGGAAAGTCTTGATCTAATTAAAACTTTACCAACCAAAGGAAAGTCTTGATCTAATTAAAACTTTACCTTTACCAACCAAAGAAAAGTATTGATTTAATTAAAACTTTACAAGCAGAGAAAAGTCTTGATCTAATTAAAACTTTACCTTTACCAACCAAAGAAAAGTATTGATCTAATTAAAACTTTACCAACCAAAGGAAAGTCTTGATCTAATTAAAACTTTACCAACCAAAGGAAAGTCTTGATCTAATTAAAACTTTACAAGCAGAGAAAAGTCTTGATCTAATTAAAACTTTACAAGCAGAGAAAAGTCTTGATCTAATTAAAACTTTACCTTTACCAACCAAAGAAAAGTCTTGATCTAATTAAAACTTTACCAACCAGAGGAAAGTCAGAGGGGGGGGGGGGGGGGGGGGGAAGAGGTCCTGAATTTTTGTGATGATGTTGGGGTAAGATTGGCAAAAATGACATTGTTTATGGGCTACACTTAAATTACTTCATGCAAATGTTATTAGGCATATAATAATATAATTTGTGACACTAGTAATATGTATTATTAAAATTCATTAAATTAAAACTTAAAAAAAATACTTTTTAAATAATAATTATAATTTTTATATCAGTACAAGGTAAATAAAATAAAAACGAAGACAAAAAAAGATTTTTCAATTATATATTGCACTACCAAATATTGCACTGAGTTTATTGATAATATCTCAGAATGTACAAATGGTCACCACTAAAAACAGCCATATACAGTGATATAACCTGGTGATATAACCTGGTGATATAACCTGGTGATATAACAACATGACTAGAGCTTTCACTACATGTCACACATTTATTTATGTGACACAAATTATGGCTACATAAGGGGTTGTCAGATATCATGACCTAGGGTTTGGGGTTCTGATAAGGGGTTGTCAGATGTCATGAGCTGGGGTTTGGGGTTCTGATAAGGGGTTGTCAGATATCATGACCTAGGGGTTGGGGTTCTGATAAGGGGTTGTCAGATGTCATGAGCTGGGGTTTGGGGTTCTGATAAGGGGTTGTCAGATATCATGACCTAGGGGTTGGGGTTCTGATAAGGGGTTGTCAGATGTCATGAGCTGGGGTTTGGGGTTCTGATAAGGGGTTGTCAGATGTCATGACCTAGGGGTTGGGGTTCTGATAAGGGGTTGTCAGATGTCATGAGCTGGGGTTTGGGGTTCTGATAAGGGGTTGTCAGATGTCATGACCTAGGGTTTGGGGTTCTGATAAGGGGTTGTCAGATGTCATGAGCTGGGGTTTGGGGTTCTGATAAGGGGTTGTCAGATATCATGACCTAGGGGTTGGGGTTCTGATAAGGGGTTGTCAGATGTCATGAGCTGGGGTTTGGGGTTCTGATAAGGGGTTGTCAGATATCATGACCTAGGGGTTGGGGTTCTGATAAGGGGTTGTCAGATGTCATGAGCTGGGGTTTGGGGTTCTGATAAGGGGTTGTCAGATATCATGACCTGGGGTTTGGGGTTCTGATAAGGGGTTGTCAGATGTCATGAGCTGGGGTTTGGGGTTCCAACTTGCAAGACGATATTGCTTAACTTTTCAATAACTAACTCTGCTCCAATCTATTTTTGCTGACATTTAGACCAGAGTTTGAGGCTGATATTTTGCAGGTCACTAACTTGTTTCAGAGACAGTAGAGTGTGGATTTAAGTGGATGTCATTTTTAGGTCACATCACATTTTGTGATGTTTTTGTCTATTGTCACGTTAGAAGTGAGATGTCACATTGTAAACAGGTAAACCCTGCCGTGGCAACCCCTTATGTAGACAGGTAAACCCTGCCATGGCAACCCCTTACGTAGACAGGTAAACCCTGCCTTGGCAACCCCTTACGTAGACAGGTAAACCCTGCTGTGGCAACCCCTTACGTAGACAGGTAAACCCTGCTGTGGCAACCCCTTACGTAGACATGAATGTGTGTCACAGGCTGTAGGGCCCATAAGTCTGCTTTAAAACATGGACAAGTATTGCCTGATACTAAACTTGATTTCGTGTTTGGTAATTTCAACACATTATACCAGACTGGTGAGATCGCAAGAGTTTTTGGCAAAGTTCAAAGGTTAATACTTGATATAACAGAGCTCAAACAAATTGACAAAACAAATTGAACATCAACCATGGAATCCTAATGCCAAGAGAAAATTTTAAAAATTATGTACAGATGTGTGTTTGAGCTCAGCAAAGGAACAAAATATTGGTGAAACTTGATAACGAGGGGGGGGGGGGGGCACACTCAATTTGTGGGAAGAAGTGAGGGCCCACATTCAAGGAGAGAGTGAGGGGGATTTGACAAGTGGTGTTTTCAATTACCGAGGTAAAAATAACTTCTGGAAAATTTTCTTGTCTTAAATATTTATTTTTTTAAATATTGAAAAGTTGGTTAATTCTCTTTTAAATTAACAAAACTTTTAAAAAATAAGTATGTGACGAAGAGGAATTTTCTGTTTGAAAAACTGAGGTGTATGTGGAATAAAATGCTGAAGTGAATTTTTAAAAAATGTTAAAAAAAAATTCCATAATAGGATGGCATTTATCACATTCTACATGTAGCTATAAATAGTAACAGAGAATGAATCTCTTTGGCTGCTCTCCCTTGCATAAAAGTTGATCAAAACATAGTAGGCCACTGGGGTCATCTTTTCCATGACTTGCAGAAGAGTAGATTCTGCAGCATCTCCTGACCTTTGACCTCAGGAAACAGCTCACAGACAAGCAAATCTAGGCTGTTGTACCAAAAATGTCTGGGGAAAATTCAGTTTATATCAACAATAGTTGTGGATACAATCTGAGCTATATCAACAATAGTTGTGGATACAATCTGAGCTATATCAACAATAGTTGTGGATACAATCTGAGCTATATCAACAATAGTTGTGGATACAATCTGAGCTATATCAACAATAGTTGTGGATACAATCTGAGCTATATCAACAATAGTTGTGGATACAATCTGAGCTATATCAACAATAGTTGTGGATACAATCTGAGCTATATCAACAATAGTTGTGGATACAATCTGAGCTATATCAACAATAGTTGTGGATACAATCTGAGCGATATCAACAATAGTTGTGGATACAACCTAAGCTATGTCAACAATGGTTGACCAATGATGGGACTTACTTGTTGAGTTGTTCACTTTCTATGCTACATAAAAATTGCTCAATCATCATCTCAAAGTCTTTTTTTCCAACAATATATCTCAAACTTTCTGAAAAGTACAACATAGAACAGACTTACATCTACAGCTTACACCTACAGCTTACATCTACAGCTTACATCTACAGCTTACATCTAGCTGAGAATAGACACACCCAGACTAGAATAGACACACCCAGACTAGAATAGACACACCCAGACTAGAATAGACACACCTAAACCAGAATAGACACACCCAGACTAGAATAGACACACCCAGACCAGAATAGACACACCCAGACCAGAATAGACACACCCAGACTAGAATAGACACACCCAGACCAGAATAGACACACCCAGACTAGAATAGACACACCCAGACACACCCAGACCAGAATAGACACAGCCAGACTAGAATAGACACACCCAGACTAGAATAGACACACCCAGACCAGAATAGACACACCCAGACTAGAATAGACACACCCAGACTAGAATAGACACACCCAGACCAGAATAGACACACCCAGACCAGAATAGACACACCCAAACCAGAATAGACACACCCAGACACACCCAGACTAGAATAGATACACCCAGACTAGAATAGACACACCCAGACTAGAATAGACACACCCAGACCAGAATAGACACACCCAGACTAGAATAGACACACCCAGACACACCCAGACTAGAATAGACACACCCAGACCAGAATAGACACACCCAAACCAGAATAGACACACCCAGACACACCCAGACCAGAATAGACACACCCAGACTAGAATAGACACACCCAGACTAGAATAGACACACCCAGACCAGAATAGACACACCCAGACTAGAATAGACACACCCAGACTAGAATAGACACACCCAGACCAGAATAGACACACCCAAACCAGAATAGACACACCCAGACACACCCAGACTAGAATAGACACACCCAGACTAGAATAGACACACCCAGACTAGAATAGACACACCCAGACTAGAATAGACACACCCAGACCAGAATAGACACACCCAGACTAGAATAGACACACCCAGACCAGAATAGACACACCCAGACTAGAATAGACACACCCAGACTAGAATAGACACACCCAGACTAGAATAGACACACCCAAACCAGAATAGACACACCCAGACTAGAATAGACACACCCAAACCAGAATAGACACACCCAGACCAGAATAGACACACCCAGACTAGAATAGACACACCCAGACTAGAATAGACACACCCAGACACACCCAGACTAGAATAGACACACCCAGACCAGAATAGACACACCCAGACTAGAATAGACACACCCAGACCAGAATAGACACACCCAAACCAGAATAGACACACCCAGACTAGAATAGACACACCCAAACCAGAATAGACACACCCAGACCAGAATAGACACACCCAGACTAGAATAGACACACCCAGACTAGAATAGACACACCCAAACCAGAATAGACATACCCAGACACACCCAGACCAGAATAGACACACCCAGACCAGAATAGACACACCCAGACCAGAATAGACACACCCAGACCAGAATAGACACACCCAGACCAGAATAGACACACCCAGACCAGAATAGACACACCCAGACCAGAATAGACACACCCAGACACACCCAGACTAGAATAGACACACCCAGACCAGAATAGACACACCCAGACTAGAATAGACACACCCAGACTAGAATAGACACACCCAGACCAGAATAGACACACCCAGACCAGAATAGACACACCCAGACCAGAATAGACACACCCAGACCAGAATAGACACACCCAGACACACCCAGACTAGAATAGACACACCCAGACTAGAATAGACACACCCAGACTGTGTGTTTCCTCGAGCTGTGCAGGTTCTTGTGATGACTGTTCATACATTTGATGACAAAAAACGTGGGTACGTTCACCATCAAATTTCCAAAATTCGTGTGTTGTGTGCTTTTCGCTTTAATCATAAATCTGCCCGACCCACGTTTTTTGTCATCAAATGTATGAACAGTCATCACAAGAACCTGCACAGCTCGAGGAAGCACACAATCTACGAGCAGTCATTGGTAGATCCCCTTGGGTCGGAAGAAAAATTTATTTTCTACTTTTTAGTCCACAAGAAAAACGTGTTTTTTTAAAAAGTTTTTTTTAAGTATTTTATTTTCTCCTTTTTAGTCCGTTGCTACACATGAAAAACGTGGTTTTTAAAAAAGTTTTTTATATAGTTTATTTTCTACTTTATCTAATGACTTGATTAAGTATGACTTGACTAAGTGTTTTAAATACATGGACTAAAAATCTTGAGCGACCGATACGCTTTAAACAGAGAAGGGGCGTAATTTAATTAAGCTAATTTAGGTCTCTAATTGCTAGTTTTTTATGATTGCATCTGAAATTGTTAGGCGATGACATTTGATGACACGAATTTTGGAAATTTGATGGTGAACGTACCCACGTTTTTTGTCATCAAATGCCGTGACCAGGATTCGAACCTGGGTTATCGCGGCCACAATGCGAAGTACTAACCACTATACGATCACGGCCAGCGCGCTCACATCGATTGGGGCCGAAGTAACTGTGTCAATAGGCCTCCAGTCTTGTCGGTATCTTTAGAAATCATGTCCTCAATTTTAGGGTCCTTGTGGCGTAATTTAATTAAGCTAATTTAGGTCTCTAATTGCTAGTTTTTATGATTGCATCTAAAATTGTTAGGCGAAAATAGCCTGCATGCCGAATTTCAGATCTCTAGAGCAATCAGAAGTGGGCTAATTTTCGTTGTCAATTTTAACAACAAACCCACAAACGCGAAGCTGAGTTAAGAAAAACGTGTTAAAAAAGAAAAAGATCGTTTATATTTGGTATTTGAAATCTGATAATCCTATATTGCAGCAAGGAGTTGGAAATATGAAGATAATCCTATATTGTAGTAAGGAAATTATTCTTTGCATCAGGGAACATAACTCACCTTAGTGACCTCCACTTCAGGGAACATAACTCACCTTAGTGACCTCCACTTCAGGGAACATAACTCACTGTGTTGTCAATAGACAATCTGAAAAAGTTGCTAAAAACTGGACAAGACATACCTGGAAAAAATTGGAGCAGACATCTCTTGGCCTGAAGTTTCAAATCTTGTCTCTCTTCTTCTGATAGTACTGACCCTGTCCTTGACCTCAGCTGACCTTGTGGCCAAATGGTCTCCCTCAGATGCCGCAGGTAAAAAGCTAGTTGAGATTCTGTCAGAAGGCCCTCCAGGGAAGACTCCAGGTACCTACAAAGTAAACTTTAACATCAGATTCTGTCATCATGGAGGAGTTCAACTGCTAACATTCAATTTAAGCCACGTCACTGACGCTTGTACCTGTCAGCCCCTACACCCACCTGCCAGCCTCTACACCCACCTGCCTACACCCACCTGCCAGCCCCTACACCCACCTGCCAGCCCCTACACCCACCTGCCTACACCCACCTGCCAGCCTCTACACCCACCTGCCAGCCCCTACACCCACCTGCCAGCCCCTACACCCACCTGCCTACACCCACCTGCCTACACCCACCTGCCTACACCCACCTGCCTACACCCACCTGCCAGCCCCTACACCCACCTGCCTACACCCAGCTGCCTACACCCACCTGCCAGTCCCTACACCTACCTGCCAGCCCCTACACCCACCTGCCAGTCCCTACACCTACCTGCCAGCCCCTACACCCACCTGCCTACACCCACCTGCCAGCCCCTACACCCACCTGCAAGCCCCTACACCCACCTGCCAGCCATTACACCCACCTGCCAGCCCCTACACCCACCTGCCAGCCCCTACACCCACCTGCCAGTCCCTACACCCACCTGCCAGCCCCTACACCCACCTGCCTACACCCACCTGCCTAAACCCACCTGCCTACACCCACCTGCCAGCCCCTACACCCACCTGCCAGCCCCTACACCCACCTGCCTACACCCACCTGCCAGCCCCTACACCCACCTGCCAGCCCCTACACCCACCTGCCAGCCCCTACACCCACCTGCCTACACCCACCTGCCTACACCCACCTGCCTACACCCACCTGCCAGCCCCTACACCCACCTGCCAGCCCCTACACCCACCTGCCTACACCCACCTGCCTACACCCACCTGCCTACACCCACCTGCCTACACCCACCTGCCAGCCCCTACACCCACCTGCCTACACCCACCTGCCTACACCCACCTGCCAGCCCCTACACCCACCTGCCTACACCCACCTGCCTACACCCACCTGCCAGCCCCTACACCCACCTGCCAGTCCCTACACCCACCTGCCAGCCCCTACACCCACCTGCCTACACCCACCTGCCTACACCCACCTGCAAGCCCCTACAACCACCTGCCTACACCCACCTGCCAGCCCCTACACCCACCTGCCTACACCCACCTGCCTACACCCACCTGCCAGCCCCTACACCCACCTGCCTAGACCCACCTGCCTAGACCCACCTGCCTACACCCACCTGCCAGCCCCTACACCCACCTGCCTACACCCATCTGCCTACACCCACCTGCCAGCCCCTACACCCACCTGCCTACACCCACCTGCCAGCCTCTACACCCACCTGCCAGCCCCTACACCCACCTGCCTACACCCACCTGCCTACACCCACCTGCCATCCCCTACACCCACCTGCCTACACCCACCTGCCAGCCTCTACACCCACCTGCCAGCCCCTACACCCACCTGCCTACACCCACCTGCCAGCCCCTACACCCACCTGCCTACACCCACCTGCCTACACCCACCTGCCTACACCCACCTGCCATCCCCTACACCCACCTGCCTACACCCACCTGCCAGCCTCTAAACCCACCTGCCAGCCCCTACACCCACCTGCCTACACCCACCTGCCAGCCCCTACACCCACCTGCCAGCCCCTACACCCACCTGCCAGCCCCTACACCCACCTGCCTACACCCACCTGCCTACACCCACCTGCCAGCCTCTACACCCACCTGCCAGCCCCTACACCCACCTGCCTACACCCACCTGTCAGCCCCTACACCCACCTGCCAGCCCCTACACCCACCTGCCTACACCCACCTGCCAGCCTCTACACCCACCTGCCAGCCCCTACACCCACCTGCCAGCCCCTACACCCACCTGCCTACACCCACCTGTCAGCCCCTACACCCACCTGCCAGCCCCTACACCCACCTGCCAGCCTCTACACCCACCTGCCAGCCCCTACACCCACCTGCCTACACCCACCTGCCAGCCTCTACACCCACCTGCCAGCCCCTACACCCACCTGCCAGCCCCTACACCCACCTGCCAGCCCCTACACCCACCTGCCAGCCCCTACACCCACCTGTCAGCCCCTACACCCACCTGCCAGCCCCTACACCCACCTGCCAGCCCCTACACCCACCTGCCAGCCCCTACACCCACCTGCCAGCCCCTACACCCACCTGCCTACACCCACCTGCCTACACCCACCTGCCAGCCCCTACACCCACCTGTTAAATGCCTTGCTAAGAACTGACTGTATTGACTTGACTACCCTGTCCCTGCACATCCAATGGTCTTGACCTTGAAGACCTTGGATCAAAAGGTCAAGGACAGCATAGCTAAGACCAAGTTCACTTGATGCTAAGGTATGATTGAAGACATAATTTCAATCAGATATGATGTATTTTCTAAAACAATTTCAATTAGCTTCATTTATTAATTAAAATTATTACTTTCTTAATCAACAAGAAAATGTATGAAATTAAAGACAATCATTAGTGAAAACCTGATTGGTCTGTGGTGGGTAATTGAGCTCGAATTTTGTCAACTTCCTGTTTGTAAACTTCTTTTGTTTGTTCAGCCATCTGTGGGCAAATTATAAAGTGGATATATATATATATATATATATATATATATATATATATATATATATATATATATATATATATATACATATATATATACATATATATATACATATATATATATATACATATATATATATATATATATATATATACATATATATATATATATATATATATATATATATATATATATATATATACATATATATATACATATATATATATATATATACATATATATATATATACATATATATATACATATATATATACATATATATATATACATATATATATACATATATATATATATATATATATATATATATATATATATATATATATATATATATATATATATATATATATATATGCGCTGTATAACACCCAACATTAGCCAAATTATAACGTGGACATTTTAAATACATCTGCTGTATAGCACATAACATTAGACAAATGTTCAAGACCCCACTGATTACATTTCCTCGAATAAAGGGAAGCTACCCCAATTTTCAGCATATTTTAAAATGGTATTTAATATCTAAATATTATCAGCCAGCTGGGGGACATGAAGTGAACAGAAAATGTTTAGTTGGAGGGTATCAAGGGATGCTCCATGTCAGGCAGGTACAGGTAGACCCACCCCATCAGGACACCTAAAGTCACCCTCAGCAAAGAGTTAAAATAAAAATATCTGGCAACACATGACAACACCTGACATTATCTGACGTAAAAATAAAATATACCATATAATCAGTGATGACGTCAGATACAGAAAAAAGTTCTTTGTCTTCATCAGAGACAAAATCCCGCAGCAGTTGTTTGAAACTCTCGCACATGTTGTTGCTATTTTCATTCACCTGAAACACAGAATATCTTTACCCTAGCTCAGTTCAAAGGTTACAATATCTTTACCCTAGCTCAGTTCAAAGGTTACAATATCTTTACCCTAGCTCAGTTCAAAGGTTACAATATCTTTACCCTAGCTCAGTTCAAAGGTTACAATATCTTTACCCTAGCTCAGTTCAAAGGTTACAATATCTTTACCCTAGCTCAGTTCAAAGGTTACAATATCTTTACCCTAGCTCAGTTCAAAGGTTACAATATCTTTACCCTAGCTCAGTTCAAAGGTTACAATATCTTTACCCTAGCTCAGTTCAAAGGTTACAATATCTTTACCCGCTCAGTTCAAAGGTTACAATATCTTTACCCTAGCTCAGTTCAAAGGTTACAATATCTTTACCCTAGCTCAATATCTGTTCAACAATTCAACAAAAGTTAGAATATCTGTTCATCATTTGAGTCTACAGACGAGCAAGCAAATACAACTTTACCCCTTGAGGTCATCATTTGAGTCTACAGACGAGCAAGCAAATACAACTTTACCCCTTGAGGTCATCATTTGAGTCTACAGACGAGCAAGCAAATACAACTTTACCCCTTGAGGTCATCATTTGAGTCTACAGACGAGCAAGCAAATACAACTTTACCCCTTGAGGTCATCATTTGAGTCTACAGACGAGCAAGCAAATACAACTTTACCCCTTGAGGTCATCATTTGAGTCTACAGACGAGCAAGCAAATACAACTTTACCCCTTGAGGTCATCATTTGAGTCTACAGACGAGCAAGCAAATACAACTTTACCCCTTGAGGTCATCATTTGAGTCTACAGACGAGCAAGCAAATACAACTTTACCCCTTGAGTTCATCATTTGAGTCTACAGACGAGCAAGCAAATACAACTTTACCCCTTGAGTTCATCATTTGAGTCTACAGACGAGCAAGCAAATACAACTTTACCCCTTGAGGTCATCATTTGAGTCTACAGACGAGCAAGCAAATACAACTTTACCCCTTGAGGAGAGAACTCTGATATAAAATCTATGGCGTCTGAGTCACTCTGAGGGTGTTTGTGGTCTGGTGTGTCACGTGACCGAAACCCTGACATCACTTCCTGTGGGATATTGGGTAGAGCCTTGATCCTGTCCACAACCCCTGACACGCCCCGCATCAACATCTGGGTCAGAGAAGAAATGTTTTTTTAAATAGCCCCGCATCAACATCTGGGTCAGAGTAGAAATGTTTTTTTAAATACAGTCTGATCAGTTGAACTGAAGTTTATTTACAACTATTACAAGTGACAGAAATCTTAACTTAGAATAAAAGTCGTAATTTCTTTTATGCCTGAATTTTCTGGTTCTTAAAATATGCTTTAAATAAATTGGTAAAAAAAAAGTGAAATACAAATAAGGGATAAATTTTTTTCAGTCAACGATAATTGGTGGAAAATATAGCTATTTTTCCTGTGAACAAAAAATTATTTCAATAAATTAAGCTTTTAATGTCTAATCTGTGTTACCATCAAAAGCATGTCGATCAAATTTAAATGAAAACAACTTGGAGATTTAAATTTTTCTCAAAATACTAAAAGCTGATTTGACATCAAACCAAATATAACCAACAACAAAGCCAGAAGCTTTTGTGAGTTCCCTCCCCTGGTACCTTATAACAGAGGCTTCTGTGAGTTAGTGGGATGGAGTGGTCTAGCAGTAGAGAGCTGGACTGCTAACCCGTAAGTTTCGAGTTTGAATCCAGGTTCAAGTCAGTAGACCGTCCCTGAGTCCACCCAACTCTGATGGGTACCTAACTCACGTTAGGGAAATTAAAGACTGCTGGGCATAGTGCTGGCCACACTATCTCCTCATATGCGGAGTTCCCTCCCCTGGTACCTTATCAAACAAACCAAATATAACCACCAACTAAGCCAGAAGCTTGTGTGAGTTCCCTCCCCTGATACCTTATCAAACAAACCAAATATAACCACCAACTAAGCCAGAAGCTTGTGTGAGTTCCCTCCCTGGTACCTTATCAAATCTGGGTACTGTGATGTCAGGGGACTTGTTGACAAAAGCAATATGTGAATCTCCTTCATAGGCCAAGAACTCTCTCAGGTCGGGTCCAAGGCAGATGGCTTCTACTTCAATCAGATCCTGAAATAACACATCAATTGAACCATTGAATCCAGAGAGGGATGGCCAACACTCTACTATATTCTAATCATCTGGCACAGGCTTTTCCTTCTCCCATGGGGGGGGGGGGGGGGGGGGGGGGGGGGGAAGGCAAGTTACTTCCCTGGGGGAGCTCTGCCCTACTGCATCTTTGGATGAAAAAGACAAAAATATTTAATTTAACTTTAACCATTGCTCCCTGTCTGTACATGCCACAAATGCAACCAAGGCTTTACCTCACAAATATACCATAAACTTTACCTCACAAATATACCATAAACTTTACCTCACAAATATACCATAAACTTTACCTCACAAATATACCATAAACTTTACCTCACAAATATACCATAAACTTTACCTCACAAATATACCATAAACTTTACCTCACAAATATACCATAAACTTTACCTCACAAATATACCATAAACTTTACCTCACAAATATACCATAAACTTTACCTCACAAATATACCATAAACTTTACCTCACAAATATACCATAAACTTTACCTCACAAATATACCATAAACTTTACCTCACAAATATACCATAAACTTTACCTCACAAATATACCATAAACTTTACCTCACAAATATACCATAAACTTTACCTCACAAATATACCATAAACTTTACCTCACAAATATACCATAAACTTTACCTCACAAATATATGTCATAAACTTTACCTCACAAATACACCATAAACTTTAATTCACAAAAGCATCAGATTTTTTCCCCAAATGTAAAACCAGGGTTCATGCTCCAAAAGTAAAAAAAAAATCTAGGAGTTTTCTAGGACTTTTAAACAAATTCCAGGACATTTTTAAAACTAATAAATCTGTATTGTATGGCCACATCTATTTTAATTAAGTTAATCTGTTCTTTTTTCTACAATTAAATCAGTATTATACCATTATTGTAACAATTCATAGTTTTATAAAGCTAATACCTTAATTGAAAAAAGTTTTTGTTACTCTAAAAAAAACAATGAAAGCCCTTTCTAATTGCAATTTAACATTTCCCTTATATAAGGGCCTACAGTTTTTTGTGGAGATTTTACAATATGACAAAAGAAGGGAAACAATTTTTTGAACTAATGTAAATGTATTGATTTAATAAATTAGAAGGGGTCTACTATTTAAATGGTACTTTGGAATTAACACTTAAAAAAAAACCACCTTGATAATAACCAAGCCGAAGCCACATCGTTACTTATGTTTATAGCCTTTACAGCTGGTGTATTCTTCCTTCAAAGAACGGCAACATTTTATATTAGATCGACTTTTTAACAAATTTTTGCAAAAATATTTAACTGAAAACATCAGTGGAAAATTTGGACTAAAAATCCGCCAAAATTTGGGAGTCACATCCCTGAAAAATTGCGTGTTACTAGATCTAGAGCTATAAACATGTCCACCCTTAATGACCCCAAGTGCGTTTTCAAATTACTTGGTTTGGGGGAAATATAAAGGGATGTCACCAACAATTGCAAATAGCAATAGTCCATGAAATGACGTTTGCTCCAGGGTTGTTTATATAACTAAAGTCACAGTGAACCCTCCATGCATCAAAACTTTTTTTAAACTAGAAAGCGGGAGCGGCGATTACGCTGGTGATGATGTTTGGAATTTGCGTATTTCTTGATATATTATTTTTAAAACTTTCATTTAGATCAAAAAAACTTTTAAAAAAAAATTTACCTATTGCTTTTGCTTGCGGATCATTGATATCTAAATCTAGATCTAAGTACAAATGCCAATTGACGAAACAAAAATAGCGTTTGGATTTTCATGGTTCACAAAATTTCAAGAGATTTTTTACAATTTCAGGAGAATTCCAGGACCTCTTAGATTTTAGGAGGCTGCACGAACCTTATAAAACAAATTTACCTTCAAGTATTTTTCAAGAAAAATTCTTCTAGATTCAACAGTTTCTTTGTCAACAGACTTGAAGGGAAAAGATGGCCATCGCTTAGGGCCACGAATCTCTGGAGAGGATTCAAACAACAAGTTTGTCAATTTACTAGAAATATAAATACTTCTTTTCTTATACAGAGCACAATTCCTTTTAAATATTTAACCCATTTCAAAATCATTATAAAAAAACTATTTAAAAAATATTCTCAAGTGATTTGAAAATATTAATATGCTTTTTACATAGATATGGCTTTAATTAGCCAGAGAGAAAAATGACATCTTTTATTGCAAAACTAACCTGGGAAAGTGAGTTAAGAATATTAAACACAAATCTAAATATATACAGTAAGTTTTTAAAAGTCTAAAATAGCTAAATAAAGAAGTGTAATTATATCAGAGGAAAAACAACACACTATAACAGCATAGAATTTATATAGAAAATAAACTTTTACCAGCGTAAAATGTGGAGTGTAGACTAAAGGGTTAAAATGTGGAATGTAGGTTAAAGGGTTAAAATGTGGAGTATAGGCTAAAGGGTTAAAATATGTGGAGTGTAGGCAAAAGGGTTAAAACATGTGGAGTGTAGGCTAAAGGGTTAAAACATGTGGAGTGTAGGCTAAAGGGTTAAAACATGTGGAGTGTAGGCTAAAGGGTTAAAACATGTGGAGTGTAGGCTAAAGGGTTAAAACATGTGGAGTGTAGGCTAAAGGGTTAAAACATGTGGAGTGTAGGCTAAAGGGTTAAAACATGTGGAGTGTAGGCTAAAGGGTTAAAACATGTGGAGTGTAGGTTCAACTGAAATTACTTTTCAAGTGTTTTCTGTAGCTCTGGTTGCCCTCTAGCCTGGAGTGCAGGTTAATAAACTCTCTGTACCTTCTCTTGACCAAACCAGATCGGATCACTGGGTTCCCTTCACTGAAGTAGAGAGCCTCATACTGAAAAACAGTCATTACAATTTAAAAAGATCCTCACACTGAAAAATATTGAGTAAAACTACAATGTGGTGTGTCACTAATTCCTTACCTCAATTATGTACAAAGAATACTGTGTTGTGCTACGAAATTCTGTGTTGGTCATTGTCTTTGGAATAGAAATGTCTTGGAATATCCGATTGTCACTATCCTTGATGACTGCGTCATCAGCCACATTAAACTCCAGGTGTTGTGTGCTGGGAGAAGGCGTGGGGCATGGAGATTCCTCAGATAGTTCAATGCTGCTCTGTTGACTGATGGGTTCATGAAGTGGAGACAATGAAGAGCAGCTATTATACAAGAACCCTGGGCTGGGTGTTTGCTCAGTATCACTCAGTGTAGGGCTACACTGCTGACTGATGCCTGACCTACCAGCTTGTAAAGCTGGGGCGTCTAAAGGAATTCCGTCAACAAGCAGTTGTGGTGGATTTTGGCCACCATCTGCATTCCCCTTTAACTTTATTGAGGTCGCCTTTAACTTTGTTGAGGTCAAGGACAAACTTTTGGGCTTCTTTATGCTTTGTGGCTTCAGTTGATCAACGAAAAAATTTTTAAGTGATGACAATTTGGAAAATGAACTTGACATGACTTCAGAAGTGGATTCTGTTGAGGCTGAGAGGGCACTGACCTCTGTGGTAGTGCTGGACTGTTGGTCAGCTAAGAAATCATTAATGGCACATGAATCAGCTGTTGATTCAGAATCTTCTTTCAATGAGCAGCCATCATCGTCATCTTCGCAATCATCTTTAGGCTTATCATCATCAGGGGAGCTTGAGGTAGCATGAGGGATATCAGTAAGTTTATCAGATTCTTCAACATCCAGTGCAGCAGTATCACAGTCTAGCCTAGATAAAACAGAGCCTGTTGAGTCAAGCACCAAGTTTATTTGATCCAAATTTGACCAGGAAGGTGTTGAATCAACTAAGGCAGTTTCTAGAAGGTGAGATTTTTCAAATGAATCGGGGTTAACAAGTTCCTTAACTTCATCATAATTATCACACATATCATCTTTAACAAAACCGGTTTCTGCAGAGGCTGCGGTTGGTTTGCTTTCATCATCAAAATTGACATGAATACATTCACTTTGTGCACTAATCATATTATCAACAGTGGCACTTAAGTTATTTGGTTCAAAATGTTCATCTGAAGTAATTTGAATGATAACTTCCATTAACCAATCAGGGTTAGACAACAACTGCATTATTGGAAGCATAATGTTGGCTGCAAGGATTTCAACAAGCAATGTTCGCACACAGGGACCCTCTACTATTTGTTCACTAAATACAGATAAAACTAAAACAGACACAACACCCTTCAAATAATTCAACTCATGCTTTTCTGATTCTAGTGCATTATGTACAGATGCTACAGTTTCAAATGCATCATCAATAGATGAATGTCTCTTAAATCTATCATTTTGCACAACTTTTGTCTTGGGGTGTATTTTATGACTTTCAAATGTTTTTTTAGCTTTCTGATAACTAATGAAGTGGATGTGATATTGTTGTATTATTTTCATTAATGTGATCTTTGAATTTTGCTGAGATAAATGCTGCACCAAATCTTTAAAGGCTTGCTGGACTAGCTGCCTGACTTCCTTCAAAAACTGACCATCATATGAAAAATGGGGATGATACCATGACTCAAAAAAGTCACGGATAATCAACAACTGTATAGAATTTATTTCCTCTGACCATGAGCATACATCATTCGACATTTGTACTGGTGATGGATGATCATTACAAACTAGCAGTGATGATGAATTACTACTTTTGCCACTTTGTGGTTGAAATACATATTTAAAATTAGTTAAATATTCAACATAGACAGATTCAAGTTTTACAAATATTTGCTCTGTCACTAGTGAAGCCTTTTTATTGTGCAATATTTGGCTTGAAAGTTGAACAGCTGTAACAAATGAAATTAAAACAACTAGAGGCAACGTCCAAACAGATGTTATCCACGATAACAAGATTGTTACCGAGAAGAGCAGAACCAACTTCTGTGCACTCGAGTAGGCTCTTAGATTCCACGCTTCAGAAATCGCTCCTAAAAATGCTTCCCTGCCTGCCATTTTTTAGACAGAAGATGGATTAGAGGTTTTATTATTTCAACCACGACATCAGACCTAAATTTCCACTTTTTCTTATCGATCATAATGTTTTATTATAGAGAAACGATCGATTTAGATTTCTCCAACCATTCGTAACATCTTTCTTAGTTGACTTCCGCATAAATAGTCATGTGATCTTGTTGTCATATGACAACGGCCTATATTTAGAAAGAGACAAAAAATAAAAATGTAAAATAAAATAAATTATTACTATTACTACACTACGTCTTCGTTCAAAATATATTGAAATAATAATATTAATAATAATAATAATAACAATAGACCTAATAATAATAATAATAATAATAACAATAATAATAATAATAGGCTAATAATAATAATAATAATAATAATAAAAGTTAAACAAAAAGAAATAACAAAATAAATATAAACCTTTTGATGTAAAAAAAATGCTGCGTAATTAATTAAATTATACTCGATCATATTCCCTCTGCCGGAGTTTCCTTCCAGGCATCTGTTCTATCCATTCATCCATCCGTCCATTCATCCATCCATCCGTCCGTCCATCAGTCCGTCCATCGATATGTCTGTCTATCTATTTACATATATACCCCGGTTTCTGTAGAAAATAAAAATCAGTAGGGGCGGCGCCCCAGCAGGCTGTCTTTGGGCACCTTGGGCTCCCTCGTGAGCGATGGCCCCTACGTTAGCTTAAAAGCGTACCATACTCCATGTATGCGGTGTGATACTATAATCTAATCAGGAGCGTCCTATAATACCCCGGCAATCAGGTGTCCTGTGGGATCCTAGCCCTAACAAAATGATTAACCTACACATCAGCCTGTCATTCCTCGATAAATGGTTTGTTATAAAAAATATGTTAAGAATTAAAAAAAAAAGTAATACCCATAAGAGTCACATGGTCATAGGCATACAGAGAACAGCATCATGCAGCCATTATCTAGTTAATTTCACAGCTATTTTACGTTTTAGTCTTAATTTTACGGGGATTTTATTTTAAATATTGTTTAAAGATTGTGGGAAATTAAAGTTTAAAGCCATCTGTGGGTTGTTTTTTTTTTAATAACTGGATCTTTGAAATGTCTACAGTTTTCCTGTTAGTTCCAGGGTTTTATATTGCGTGAGTGCACAAAAAATCCCCTGAAACTTGCCTACAAGAACTATTTCTAGATCTAATTCAGGTGTGGTTAATAAACAGACGCTGGACTAACTCCACTCTATTTTTCCATAATAGACCTGGATTTAAACTTATAATACTATTATTAATAGGGCCGTAGACTGTTAACCCGAAAATGTAGTTCGGATTTTGGACTAAATATAAATATATTGTATAATTTTTAGCGCAATTTCCATACGGACAATTGCGATTATTAACTCGTCATTTCTGGATGTGCGTCCGATGTATGGATGTGTGTCCGCAGCTTTAAGTCGTATCTCATCCTCAACGAAGCAATATCGAGGACTAGTTCCAAAAGCAAATATGTTAAGCAAGTTCCGAGGATGAACATAGGCCAAAAAATTCCCGGAATTCCTTCCTGGATTTCCCGGAAAAGCCAAAAAACCTCGAACAAATGCAGTTTTTGCTGCATATCTCGGCAACCAGACCACTTAGCGACTAGAAACATTTACCAATCGATTCCTGCCATAATTTAGAACAATATTGCCGAAGAAAGTTTTCAAAAATATCCTTTCGTTCGGTCACAAAATTTTTTTAAAAATTATTTAAACTGAGCATCTTGTAGGCCTAGGATGATATTTTAAACTGAGCATCGTGTAGGTCTACTCGTTAAAATAAAACTATTTCCGTTGATATTTTCTATTACCCCCTACACGTCCGCATATATTTTAAAATCTCGTTAATAAATATTTTTTTTATTTTTTTTTTGAATTATTAAAACTACTTGTGTTGCATTATTTATTTGCTGAATATATGATTTATCTCGATTTAAAATTGTTATGGATAACATAAGGAAATTGCGCTTAAATTGTCACTAGACTTTTTATTAACTTGTTTTTGTTGCAATGCGAAGAACGTATGAGCAAGTTTACCGATACCCCCAACGAAACAGAATGTATATAGACAATAGACTATAATATTCTTTCAACCATTTGGTAATTTAGTCGTGTAATTCATAAGAACGATTTTTAGATAGCCTAACACCATTAATTTAAAAAAAAAAGTTTTTCTTTCATATAGATCTAGATCTATTAACAGCAGAGTTTCTTCCAGGCATCTCTTCGAGGGGGGGGGGGGGCGCACCCCCCCGAAATTTTTTTACCGCCCCCCCCCCCCGAACGAAATGAAATTTATATAATTTATATAGAAAATATATACTTTTAGCAGTGTCCGCCCCCCCCCCCCCCGAAAATTTCAAGTGCCCCCCGGAGAAAAAAGTCTGGAAGAAACACTGATTGACAATAAGATCTTTCACTAGTCACATCTCAATAATGTTTTTACTCTTTCTCTAAAGGACAGATCATTACTCTATTTAGGGTTATTGCTATAATAATTATTTCATTACATGCTAGGCCCACTTTATTTCTATTGGCTAGATCTACCTAGAGTTTTTTCGCTTAAAATTTGCGTTTCTTAGTATGACCCATTAAATACGACCAAGATGGCAACGTTTAGTTCAGATCAACAAAACAGTGTACATAAAAGCAGTTCGTCTGCTGACACACAGACTTCTCTTTATAAAAATGCGCAACAATATGCACAAGCTTTACGTCCTTGGCTATGGCATTATCAAAATATGTGTGTTATGCAGACGTTTGCTTCTCATTTCGCTTTACAAACTGCTTTTTCTGGAAATCGCAATGTTACACCACAAGCTTCCTTGAATCCTCCAGGTTTATCGATATCAAATCCTCCATTGAATCAAAGACCCCTGAATGGAGTAAACATCACACCAACTCCATTAACTCAACAAAATTATACAGACCGTCAAGCAAATGGCCGGGAATTGCCAGGTAAATCTATGTCGATTTGATAGACATACATGGCAGACTCAGGGCATAGGGTTTTTTTTTCATAGACCTGACCTGAATGTTTTGTGTTAAAAGAATGTATGAGCTGGTACATCTCAACATCATTTGAATGTTTTGTGTTAAAGGAATGTATTTACAACTCTAGGTGTTGCACTGCGAGTGCCAACCTTCTGGAAAAGATTTGCTGCGGAGCTGATAGATTTTACATTTTTATTCTACATCAAAATGACAGTCTCTCTCTGTCTAATGACTGAGTTCAGCTTTGACCAGTTGTAAGTTACATTTTAGCTCTTGATGTGTACACTCATGGATGCATTGGCTAACCTCTGGTTAGTCTAGACCTTAGTAGAAACATTGATGGTCCTAGTGTTTAGATGTAGAAACATTGATGGCCCTAGTGTTTAGAAATTTAGATGTAGAAACATTGATGGCCCTAGTGTTTAGATGTAGAAACCCTGATTGTCTTTGGGGTTTAGAATTTAGATGTACCATGTCTCCAACTTTAAAAAATATGTATTGGTTATTTAGAAGTTTTTAGTGTGAGTTGAAAATTTATAACTAATTTAATTTGCAGGTCATTTTTGAACAGTGAGGATATGTTGGACAGCTTTAGTGAACTGGATTATGACAGAGCCTTTGCAATCACATATGAAGTTATAGCCCTTGAAATTTTAAATAGAATCCTAATTACAATTTTTGAGGTAACTGTTGCCAGTTTTATTGTTTTGAACTCAATTCCCCCCAAACTTTATAGTTCTATTTCCCCCAGACTTTATAGCTCCCCCATTTCTCCCCAGACTTTATAGTTCCCCCATTTCCCCAGACTTTATAGTTCCACCATTTCCCCCCCAGACTTTATAGTTCCACCATTTCCCCCCAGACTTTATAGTTCCACCATTTCCCCCCAGACTTTATAGTTCCACCATTTCCCCCCAGACTTTATAGTTCCACCATTTCCCCCCAGACTTTATAGTTCCACCATTTCCCCCCAGACTTTATAGTTCCACCATTTCCCCCCAGACTTTATAGTTCCACCATTTCACCCCAGACTTTATAGTTCCACCATTTCCCCCCAGACTTTATAGTTCCACCATTTCCCCCCAGACTTTATAGTTCCACCATTTCCCCCAGACTTTATAGTTCCACCATTTCTCCCCCAGACTTTATAGTTCCACCATTTCCCCCCAGACTTTATAGTTCCACCATTTCCCCCCAGACTTTGTAGTTCCACCATTTCTCCCCCAGACTTTATAGTTCCACCATTTCCCCCCAGACTTTATAGTTCCACCATTTCCCCCCAGACTTTGTAGTTCCACCATTTCTCCCCCAGACTTTATAGTTCCACGATTTCCCCCCAGACTTTGTAGTTCCACCATTTCTCCCCCAGACTTTATAGTTCCACCATTTCCCCCCAGACTTTATAGTTCCACCATTTCCCCCCAGACTTTATAGTTCCATCATTTCCCCCCAGACTTTATAGTTCCACCATTTCCCCCCAGACTTTATAGTTCCACCATTTCCCCCCAGACTTTATAGTTCCACCATTTCCCCCAGACTTTATAGTTCCACCATTTCTCCCCCCAGACTTTATAGTTCCACCATTTCTCCCCCCAGACTTTGTGCCTCTACCGTCCAGTGGGAGGGAGACCAGGAGTGGGAGCAACACCTGGGAAAAGACTGCTGGGATTAAAAGTTGTGTCATGTGATCATGTTGAGAGTCTAGGTCAAGGTCAGGTGTTAGTCTCACCAGCAGGAAATGTCAGTCTCAAAAAGTAAGATACTGTCCTCAGAGTAACTCTTGTCATGATAATTAAAGTTGAAACATTGACATTTAGTTTGATTATCTCAGTTTTACTTTAACCAATTTCTGTTTTGTTCCAGCGCTTTCCTTCGGTCACTGATAAAAAATTTCACCATCGCACTGTTTCTGCCAGCATGTTTGACTCTGTTTTTCTTCAAGCACAATAGAGCAGCCTACGACATAGTAGCACACACAATTGTTGTGGAAGATATTCTTTAAGTTTGAGTCTGTTGATTGGTTGCTATTGTAATGATTGTGAATGATCATGGCACAATTGAATCACCATGGCCGACCTCACTAGTCAAGTTGTTACACATACTATTTCCTCTTGTTTGATCACTTTGTGTTGATATGTTGTCAGGTTGATGAGTGAACAATGTTTGCACCTGGTTTAGCTGTACATAGGTACCTGGGGTGGGCTGTGGCTAGGGATTGTTTGAACTGAGTGTTAACAGTCTGGTCAATTATTCCTTCAATCAAAATTCTCCTGATGTCCTCAACACTTGACTTAAAATTTTTTTGTTCTGTCCATGAGTTGAATGAATTCCACATACATACATTGTATGTTCATATGTAGTCAGGTTTTTTATCTTTGGTTCCACATGAATACTTACATTGTATGTTCTTACATTATTTCTACAAAAATGCTTTCATTATCAATCCATGATTTATTTGGTGGGTTATCCACAAGCCTCTGTTACTTACATTGTACGCTGTACTACTAGCGTTCCTGTCCCTTATAATGCTACAATCTGAGAAAAAAGGCAGATGTGATAGTTTAAGAAGTTTTCATCAATTTGTTACCTAACCTGTATTTTTAGATGTGTGACCCTGTTTTAATATAAACAAATGAGGCGCAATATTTCTTGGATCCTAATATTTGGGGTGTGGGACTGTCCACACTTTCCACCCCAGGGTGTGATCTATGGAAGCCCTGAGTGTTTTCATCACCCTTCATAATAGTCAGGGAAAAGAAACCTCAGCCACTGACCAGGTGTCAGAGCTACCGGTTACACCACTGCAGGGGTGCCAGGTACATTGAATGCCATGCACCACCATGTCCATATTGCAGGGTGCTCTTGAGAAAGAATGTAGGCACCATAGTGCTCATGGAGAAGCCTGGGGTGCTGCAGTTCACCCGTCTGTGGTGAGTGGGCCAAAGTCTATTTAGCTCACCTTATCCATAGTGTATGGCACTCTTTGAACTTAACATGGGGGAACCTCAGGCCTCCATAATGCTCATTTTATTCCCTGCAGGAACATTCCCGGAGTATTGTCATCAACTCTCCAATGTTTCATCGCACGTATAATAATGCATAAAAAACAGACATATTATCATTTATATATAAATATATATATATATGGGTGTACATTCATGATTACTTACATTGTATGTTGTATGGTAGTTTGAAGATGGCTGTGACAGTGTTTTATGTAAATGTTACTTGATTTCATTAAACAGAAACAGGCCCAAAACAATATAGTGCCTTTTCACTATTACAAGCATGTATTTTGTATATGAATTCGTTTGTGGTTCACTGAGGGGGTGTGTAGAAAAAAACTAACAAGCAAGCAAATGATTTTGGTCATTAGTAAATATTTAATCCACAAAGTGACATGAACTGTTGTATACAAGATTCGTACAGATTGAAGTTGAAGAAGGAACTAAGTGTGTCAACTTCTGGAGGAGGAGGGGAGAAGAATTGGGTAGAGATAGAAAGAAAAAAATGGAGGGGAGAAGAATGGGGTAGAGATAGAAAGAAAAAAATGGGTTACAAAAGAAGTTGAGATCATTCCTACAATCTTGCTGTACAACTAAAATATATTTACTGCCATCTATGGCCACTGGGGGTGGATCTACATGACACAATCTTCATGTTTCCAGCACAACTGAGAACTCAGTGGTAACTGGTGGGTCATGTAGTCCTAGAACTCAGTGGTAACTGGTGGGTCATGTAGTCCTAGAACTCAGTGGTAACTGGTGGGTCATGTAGTCCTAGAACTCAGTGGTAACTAGAGGGTCATGTAGTCCTAGAACTCAGTGGTAACTAGTGGGTCATGTAGTCCTAGAACTCAGTGGTAACTGGTGGGTCATGTAGTCCTAGAACTCAGTGGTAACTGGTGGGTCATGTAGTCCTAGAACTCAGTGGTAACTGGTGGGTCATGTAGTCCTAGAACTCAGTGGTAACTAGAGGGTCATGCTCTAACTAGGCCACTAATCTTAGAACTCTGTGGTAACTAGAGGGTCATGTAGTTCTAGAGCTCAGTGGTAACTAGAGGGTCATGCATTAGTATTTCAATTCAACTACTGATTTGCCTTCTATACTTATCTCTCTCTTTCTGTATGTATGTATGTATATATGTATGTGTGTATATATAACTTAATAAAATAACAAATGATTCATAATACATTCAACAATGTAAACAGCAGTTTGACACATAATAAAGTTAAAAATTAGCATAAAACAAGTCACCAGAGTGATAATAAAAGGAAAAGCCCACTTGATCAAGAGTATTCCCCCTGAAATGAAATCTTTAGGCCATAAAACAAAAAAAGTGCTCAAGTAAGGATTTCATAATGAAAACAGGGGACATCACTCTTCATTCAATTTAAATGTTTGAACGCTAACACAAGATAAAAAAAAAACCCCTAGCAAGTGGGTTATTGGCTTTCCAACTTGCCAGCTCTCTAGTGAGAGAAAATCTGGGTATTCACCACATGATGATGGATGCTTGTGTAACAAGTGAGCTACCAATAGCATGTAACACATTACTATGGCTTGCTTGCTACCAATAGCATGTAACACATTACTATGGCTTGCTTGCTACCAATAGCATGTAACACATTACTATGGCTTGCTTGCTACCAATAGCATGTAACACATTACTATGGCTTGCTTGCTACCAATAGCATGTAACACATTACTATGGCTTGCTTGCTACCAATAGCATGTAACACATTACTATGGCTTGCTTGCTACCAATAGCATGTAACACATTACTATGGCTTGCTTGCTACCAATAGCATGTAACACATTACTATGGCTTGCTTGCTACCAATAGCATGTAACACATTACTATGGCTTGCTTGCTACCAATAGCATGTAACACATTACTATGGCTTGCTTGCTACCAATAGCATGTAACACATTACTATGGCTTGCTTGCTACCAATAGCATGTAACACATTACTATGGCTTGCTTGCTACCAATAGCATGTAACACATTACTATGGCTTGCTTGCTACCAATAGCATGTAACACATTACTATGGCTTGCTTGCTACCAATAGCATGTAACACATTACTATGGCTTGCTTGCTACCAATAGCATGTAACACATTACTATGGCTTGCTTGCTACCAATAGCATGTAACACATTACTATGGCTTGCTTGCTACCAATAGCATGTAACACATTACTATGGCTTGCTTGCTACCAATAGCATGTAACACATTACTATGGCTTGCTTGCTACCAATAGCATGTAACACATTACTATGGCTTGCTTGCTACCAATAGCATGTAACACATTACTATGGCTTGCTTGCGGTCAAGGGCTTTAAAATGAAATGTGTAGTTGGTTCAATTGATTTGACATGCCACATGAGTAGAGAAAAAATATTTGAGCATGGCATTTAAAGGCTGAATGGCTGATTCTATTTTTGACATTTTATTGCTTCAAACAATTCTAATTAAGTTAAATATGGAAAATCACATTATAAAACACTTTAATAGAAGAAAAATTGTATGTAAAAAAATATTTATGTCTTCTGATTTATCATGAAGCTTTTCCTAATTCAATCTTCCTGGCTATAACACGTGATGAGTGATAAAGGAAGGAATCCAGCAAGCTAGCAACTGTGGAGTAATGGATTTGGCTTAGGATTAGTGTTGAGTGATTTGTTTTAGGATTAGTGTTGAGTGATTGTCTTAGGATTAGTGATGAGTGGTTTGTCTCAAGATTAGTGTTGAGTGATTGTCTTAGGATTAGTGTTGAGTGATTTGTCTTAGGATTAGTGTTGAGTGATTTGTCTTAGGATTAGTGTTGAGTGATTGTCTTAGGATTAGTGTTGAGTGATTTGTCTCAGGATTAGTGTTGAGTGATAAAGGAAGGAATCAAGCTAGATGACCTAACTAATGTTTATTGAGGCCACTTTGTTAGGTAAATGATGTCAGCAGATTAATGAACCAATTAGCAGACCTATTCACTGATTTGATTACCTGCTCTTCAACTTAAAGTTAGGGGTCACACCCTTTATTGAGCTAATGTGTGCCTGCTCTTTATTCAATATAATTCTTAAAGGTAACCCCTGCTCTTCCAAAATAAGACTTCACAGTATTCCCACTGGCAAGCCTTAACGTCACGGATGATGCGCTTAGCTCTGACACTAAATTGAGCTTAGCTCTGACACTAACTTGACATATAAAAGATTTTTTTTTCATTTACTGAGATTAAATATTAAAAATGTCATGACTAACCTGTAAAAATACCACCTACAATAGCGCAAACCTCTGTTAAAAAGTGTAAAAATGATCTGAAAGAAACAAAATGATTACATCATCCAACATAAATATGAAAAAAAACAACCCCAAATTAAAAAGTATATAGTTTTACCTCAATGCTGAATCCTGTTATCAGCAGATTAAGTACAGTCAGATCTATTAAATTACCTTTGTTTTTCTGTATATTTGACCATTATGGGAGATAACTCGTATGAAAAAAAGACTCCAGGCAATCCACTCTCACCAAGAAAACCTCCAACACTTTTTGAGTGTTTAGTCACAGAAAACTGGTTTGTATATAAATGCTGGAAAGTGAAAACAATAACACCTAGAGAACCAGTAGATCTGAGATTTAGGATTAGAACAAAATAATGTCTCAGCTTCATGAAGTGCTGGTGACATTATACATGTAGTTTAAAACTGTAGTGCTTCAGTATTTTATCAAATTCTTATTAGGTCAAAAGCTTGATCACTGCTTTTAATTACCTCCTCTAGTCGACTATTTACAATTTTAATAGAAAAAAAAATTAAAACAAAAAAGATTGTTAAAAGTTAGAATATCTGGGTGAAAAAGAAATTTATGAGACTTACCTCCCCATTGACTTTAGTGTAAGTAGTTGGCACCACTTTAATAAAGTATTGGTACATCAACTGCACTGTCAACAAACAGATTTCTTCAGTTAGCCACCATAATAGAAATACTGGTTACTAGCTTTTTTTTTTACACAGAACAACAAATACAATAAAACTGAGCAATATCCTGCAGCTAACAAAAGCTAATGAAAAGCATCATTTGCCCTATGGTACCATAACATTAGCCAACGTTTCAATGTAGGAGCTGATGTAAAGCATCATAGCTCTGTACACACAATCATGTGTCATGGCATGGCCAGAAAAGCTGATGAACTCTACTTCACCAAATAATGAACAACAAAAATGGTATTTAAAAGAAAAATTTAGTGAAAAGTAACTAGACAATCATTTAATCTTATAAAGGTATCGTATTGTTAAAACTGGTAAACTTAATAGATAATAAACTGACTTAAGCTATAAGTAGTATAAGAACACGTTTTAAGATTATTTTAACAAAATCACTCATAAAATTGTTGAATCTAAAAAGTTGGGCCAAGCCGGGATTTGAACCCGGGACCTCTCGCACCCGAAGCGAAAATCATACCCCTAGACCACTTGGCCGATGCAAACCATAGAGAAAGCAAAGAGGTTATTTTTGCATTATTTTTCCCATAATAATGCTTCCTGTTTTACCACAAATAGCCCGTTCATTTAGCCGCAGTTCGTTAACATATTTTCACAGCTTTAATTTGTTTAAAAAAAAAATAATCCACCACTATTTCTTTTTATTAACGTTTGATAATTAACATATAATACGATTGCTAATTTACGTTCAACGTAAAGGTCAATGTAAAATTAGTAACAAGGGCAGACTACTATCACTACCAAACCTAGTATTACATTGAACTTGAACAAGTTAGCACCGTAGAACTAGAAAGATATATTTCTAGAAATCAACACACTTTACTTATGATCATTAAATAATATACAAAGGTAAATATTGAATGAATAGGCTCTAAACAATAATTTAAATATGGCAAAAAGTAGTTACAGCAGTTAAGTATCTAGATCTAGAACGAGTCAACAAAGTGAGGCGTCTAATTTTTACTATTTTAGATCTCGTGTTCGTGTTACCTGTCTGTTACTGTTACAGAAGGTTTAGTTCAAAATAAAACCGAACTACAGTCTACTCTACTCAAGTCTACTGGATTTAGATCTAGATTTTACATCTTTACTATTCTAATTTCTTGATGAACTGAGCCATTGAAATAGCAATTTAGACTCTATTTTTTGAAGACGGAATAAATTTTGTATTAAAAAACTGTTTAAAACATGACGTAAGTGTATTAAGTAAGTACTATACTAAGTGGTGTGTCAAACATAACATTATTACTTATTACATAATAGTAATAATACAATACATAGTCAAATGTGGTGAAAGTGAGATGTATCATTTCATCATCATAGAATGTCATACATCTTAGAGTCTATACTGATTCTATACTATACTAATACTAAATCTACATAATAATACATATTACATATTCTCTCTAAATCAACTCAGAGCAGATCATACTTCAACATCACATAGATTTCTGTAATCTGCACACTTAACTTAACTAGTGGTATAACACTGTTTACACCTAAAATATCCAAGTAGGTATGTCAAACAGCCGTAAAAAAAAATGCAGTTTTCGCTCGCGTCGCCCAAATGTACACTTTGCAGTCAGCTTGGAAATAAGCCCTTATTAGAGCCCTTTCAAAAGAATATAGCCTGCCTACGAAAAAAACCTTAAGTCCTCTCAATACTGGTTATTGATTACATATTTACATGTTATAGTAGTAAAGAACAACTGTTATGATACTAAGGGTAAGAATGTAAGTCTAGCAAGGTTATCTATTTAGCCTACATAGTTGTATTTAATAAGCAAGTGTATTTTTGTGGTAGCCCTGCCATAGTGATAATTGTAGAGCCACTTATGTATAAATACAAGTTTATAACATAAAGGTACACTGACTGAAGCTTTCTAAATAAATGTTCTTTTAAATGCACTGCTGGCTCTAGAGACTAATAGTTATTTCAACAAAAAATATTTTCTTTATAGGACCCTTGCACTGTTCCAGCCACTATTGGATCACATATTAATAAGTCACAGACTCAAAGACTGTTTACCTGTTAAGAACTATGATTATTCTGTATTTAGATATGGCCAGATGTACTATAGGTGTCATAAATTATTGAAAATTTTTTAAAATAAAAAGATGCATTTTTGGCAGATTTTGAACCCCTGCACTCTTTTGATTAAACATGTGTTTCAAGCGTTGATCCCCTACATTTTGAAATACTTATCAAATATGTTCTTTCATCAGACATTTGTTGTGATTTTTTTTTTAAATGTACAAAATTTGTTTTTTACTTCCCCTTTTATTAAAAAGCGAGAGAAAAGCCAATTTCAATGCAATTCATTTAAATGAAGTAAGAGGTTTGACAAAAATTGAATCTGTTCTCTGAGTAAGTGTCTTTGTGTAGAGTTCAAAAGATGAAGTTTGTGTCATATACTTTTACAGATATAATCTTTCAAACATAGCACCTTTAAGGGTGTTAAAAAAAAAACGTTTTAAATTAAAACATAACTTTTTTAGTGCTTATCAACAAAGAGTAAAAAATGAAAATAGTAAAAATTAAATTGATGGTTTAGTAAAACAAGTTTCATTTTCTAAACATTTTAATTAATGGCATGTAGATGTGGTAGGTAAAACAAGGATATTTTAAAAACTGTCTTTTATTTATTTTATATACTGGATGTATTTCTATCTTTCCATGTGCGGACAAGCTGGGGGTATTATAGTCATTCACTAAATTGAATTAGGCGCGCTCCAGTAGGGTGCGATTTGACACCTTGGGCTATCCAGTGAGCGCTATGGTGCATACTTTTATTTGAAAGATGGGGACAAGGTGTGGGTAAAAAGGATTACTATAGACATTCACTCAATCAAATCTGGGCGTCCTCGTGTCTATTTGGCATCCCAGGCCTTCCAGTGAGCGCTATGGGGCTTATGTTAGGTTTAATGAGTTCAATAGACTATGGATAAGATGGGCTATTATGGTCATTTACTAAGTTGTATAAGGCACCTCTGCAGGGTGTGATTTGGCGCCATGGGCTATACTGTGAGCACTAGTGTTTATGTTCTGCGTCAGTGTTTGCGTTTGGATTTTCGTTTGTATTTTTATTTCTGTTTGTGTTGTGTTTATGTTTGAAAACTTGTTGAAAACTAGCTTGAAATATCAAAATGCCATTCTGAAGTAATTTATCAAGGTACTAGATTATCAAAGTGCCAGTTTGAGTTCAGGTAATTGTGAGATCAGCCCATATTATCAAGGTATTAGTCTTCCATAAATCAGATGCCTGATGTAACAATGTCAAGTTAATGTAAAGGTTTTTTTCCTAGTCTCTAAATGTTACAAACTCCCTGGCTCAAGCTACTTCAATGCCAATTAAAAGATGGACTAATGAAGTTTATTTGATTGACAGGTCAAGTATTGGTTTAGAAGATGCCTGTTCCATCAAGTGCTTATGGACATCAAGGAGCCCCCAGCTGCTTTGATAAAATAAAGATTGGTTTTATGATGGGATTTTGTGTAGGCATGGCATCTGGTGCTCTGTTTGGTGGCTTTTCTGCCTTAAGGTGAGTCTGGTTTATAAAGGGTGCACATTTGTGAGATACACTAGTACTTGGAATCTTACATTAATGTGGGCTGGAGTATGTTGCATGTCACTGAGCAGCGCAGATGGCTACATGACTCATGTTAGGGAAAATAAATGTAGCTGGGCCTAGTGCTTTGCTGACCATATGACGACTTCATATGCTTAGGTTACAAAAAACATACTTCAGGTCTGAAAGGGTAATTAACTGTGTCCACTTTTGAGCCAGCACCCTACACCTATCCGATGTGGATGTCTACAAAAATTAACTAAACTTACTTTCAATGCAGTTTTTGACCATGTATTCTGAATGTGAACATTCAGTGCCCTAATGTTATTTTAGTTATTAAATAGAACGAGCCGACCTGCTATGTATCATACACCACTGTTTTGTTGTTTTATTTTCTGCTTATCAGCAGTTCATAATTAGTGAATACTAAATTGCACCTAATAGTCGTCACACTAATTTGACCCAGCTCTACGATTGTAAACATTTATTGTGATATAGTTGGTAAAATTTAAGCTGACTTTTTTTCTCTCACGTCTAGGTATGGTCTTCGTGGTCGTGAACTTGTATCAACAGTGGGGAAAACGATGTTCCAGGGAGGAGGGACATTTGGGACTTTCATGGCTATTGGCACTGGTATCAGGTGCTGAGACTGGATACAAGTTTATGCTGCTGGTGTTGCCACTTCTGTCCGATATGTTGTCTCATGATTGCAATGTACATGTTATCAATAAATCTACCAGTGAGGAGAACTTGTTCTTGAGGTGCTAATTGTGTGCTTGGGTTAGTCAAACAGTGGCTGACAGAACTTCTTGAGGTGCTGTGTGCTTGGGTTAGTCAAACAGTGGCTGACAGAACTTCTTGAGGTGCTAATTGTGTGCTTGGGTTAGTCAAACAGTGGCTGACAGAACTTCTTGAGGTGCTGTGTGCTTGGGTTAGTCAAACAGTGGCTGACAGAACTTCTTGAGGTGCTGTGTGCTTGGGTTAGTCAAACAGTGGCTGACAGAACTTCTTGAGGTGCTGTGTGCTTGGGTTAGTCAAACAGTGGCTGACAGAACTTCTTGAGGTGCTGTGTGCTTGGGTTAGTCAAACAGTGGCTGACAGAACTTCTTGAGGTGCTGTGTACTTGGGTTAGTCAAACAGTGGCTGACAGAACTTCTTGAGGTGCTGTGTGCTTGGGTTAGTCAATAATTAGTGGTTGACAGAACGTATACTTACATTGATCTACTTCCTGGTACAAGCCATCCAGTGGGTTGATGATCCCTGGGTAGTCAATTCCAAATGACAGGTGATTGATTCTATGGGTCACATTGAACTGAGGATAAAAAATAAATGACAGGTGATTGATTCTATGGGTCACATTGAACTGAGGATAAAAAATAAATGACAGGTGATTGATTCTATGGGTCACATTGAACTGAGGATAAAAAATAAATGACAGGTGATTGATTCTATGGGTCACATTGAACTGAGGATAAAAAATAAATGACAGGTGATTGATTCTATGGGTCACATTGAACTGAGGATATAAAATAAATGACAGGTGATTGATTCTATGGGTCACATTGAACTGAGGATAAAAATAAATGACAGGTGATTGATTCTATGGGTCACATTGAACTGAGGATAAAAATAAATGACAGGTGATTGATTCTATGGGTCACATTGAACTGAGGATAAAAATAAATGACAGGTGATTGATTCTATGGGTCACATTGAACTGAGGATAAAAATAAATGACAGGTGATTGATTCTATGGGTCACATTGAACTGAGGATAAAAATAAATAACAGGTGATTGATTCAATGGGTCACATTAAATTGATGATAAAAATAAATAAAAACAAAATATACAGAGAACATTAAGTGTTAACTAACCAAATAAACTTTTTTGCAAAGAAATGGAACTAAAATAAATGAATTCTGTGAGGGAAATGAAAGAATTAGAGAGGCTAGCCAGAGCTGTGGATGAATGCCCAATATTTGCTCACCTTGGCTCCACTCAGTGACTGCATGTCATGCACTGTGGTTGGACAAAAGATTCATTGGTTTTAGAGTAAATTTAATTAGTATACCTCAATTTAAACAATACCCTTTCTAACATAAATTATATGAAAAGAATGAATACTCTAATTACTTAACTGATTGTAGCAGAAATTTGAAAACAGAATTTCACATTAATTGAAAACAGACGTAGACCTTTTTAAACTAGCCATCTTGAACTTTGTCTTACAGTTGGAGTTATAAAAAAAAAACAACTTACCATGGACATGCTTTTGCTGAAAACTTTTCCCTGGTGCTATATGGAAGTTCCCTGCAACCTAAAACCATACACAGTTTCTCTTAGTCAGAATACTAGTGGTCACTGGTCAGTACACAGTGGTTGTCACTTTATGGTTGTCAGACTGTGGTAGTCACTTTTAGTGGTCACTGGTCAGTACACAGTGGTTGTCACTTTATGGTGGTTGTCATATTTTGGTTGTCACTTTATGGTTGTCAGACTGTGGTAGTCACTTTTAGCGGTCACTGGTCAGTACACAGTGGTTGTCACTTTATGGTGGTTGTCACTTTATGGTTGTCAGACTGTGGTTGTCACTTTTAGTGGTCACTGGTCAGTACACAGTGGTTGTCACTTTATGGTGGTTGTCATATTTTGGTTGTCACTTTATGGTTGTCAGACTGTGGTAGTCACTTTTAGTGGTCACTGGTCAGTACACAGTGGTTGTCACTTTATGGTGGTTGTCATATTGTGGTTGTAACTATATGGTGGTTGTCATATTTTGGTTGTCACTTTATGGTTGTCAGACTGTGGTAGTCACTTTAAGGGGGTTGTCAGACTGGTTGTCACTTTAAGGTGGTTGTCAGACTGTGGTTGTCACTTTATGGTGGTTGTCATATTGTGGTTGTAACTATATGGTGGTTGTCATATTTTGGTTGTCACTTTATGGTTGTCAGACTGTGGTAGTCACTTTATGGTGGTTGTCAGTACTGCAGCAGTTGGACACACCTTGTTGACCTCCAGGTACCCAAACAGTTTACATCCCTCGTTCTTCTGGGCCTCCAACTTCTCTGACCAGCCCTCACGCTTGCACTGTTCTATGGAGTCAGGGTCTTGTAAGGCCCAACCTTTCTTGCGATACGCCTCCCTCACATCTTCACACGAGTTACAGCAGCTAGAGTAGAGAGAGTAGCTCAGGATAAAACTCCATCAAAACACCTCATGTGCTGTGTATCACACTCCCATAATGTCCTATCATTAGTCCTGTCTTTTGTCCTGTTAATTAAACCAGTGAGAAGACCTGTCCCAATTAGCAACTAAATCTTTCTATACAATGTCAAGTCACCAGAGCATGGCAAATCAATTGATCTTTGTGGCCTCACTGAGACAGATTGCATAGCAGCACTAGTTCTATTGGGACTAGTAATGGTTATTGAAATTAATTAGTAATCAGTCAGTAAAACTATAGCCACAAAAAACTAGCACAATATTAGGCTATACAATTTTAGACTGAATTTTTATGACAAAACTATTGTCACAATCATTGAAGAAAATTTTCATGATGCTAATAGTGTGTAGACTTCCATGTATTTTTGATGATGCTAATAGTGTGTAGACTTCCATGTATTTTTGATGATGCTAATAGTGTGTAGACTTCCATGTATTTTTGATGATGCTAATAGTGTGTAGACTTCCATGTATTTTTGATGATGCTAATAGTGTGTAGACTTCCATGTATTTTTAAAACGTTTTTCTTAACTCAGCTACGCGTTTGTTTGTTTGTTGTTAAAATTGACAACGAAAATTAGCCCACTTCTGATTGCTCTAGAGATCTGAAATTCGGCATGCAGGCTATTTTTGCCTAACAATTTCAGATGCAATCATAAAAACTAGCAATTAGAGACCTAAATTAGCTTAATTAAATTACGCCCCAAGGACCCTAAAATTGAGGACATGATTTCTAAAGATACCGACAAGACTGGAGGCCTATTGACACAGTTACTTCGGCCCCAATCGATGTGAGCGTGCTGGCCGTGATCGTATAGTGGTTAGTACTTCGCGTTGTGGCCGCGACAACCCAGGTTCGAATCCTGGTCACGGCATGTAGGCTGCTGTGGGTCTCGCACTGCCAAGCTCACATAACAATTTCAGATGCAATCATAAAAAAATAGCAATTAGAGACCTAAATAAATTAGCTTAATTAAATTACGCCCCTTCTCTGTTTAAAGCGTATCGGTCGCTCAAGATTTTTAGTCCGTGTATTTAAAAACACTTAGTCAAGTCATACTTAATCAAGTCATTAGATAAAGTAGAAAATAAACTATATAAAAAACTTTTTAAAAACCACGTTTTTCATGTGTAGCAACGGACTAAAAAGGAGAAAACAAAATAGTTAAAAAAAACTTTAAAAAACCATGTTTTTCTTGTGGACTAAAAAGTAGAAAATAAATTTTTCTTCCGACCCTAGGGGATCTACCAATGACTGCTCGTAGATTTTGTGCTTCCTCGAGCTGTGCAGGTTCTTGTGATGACTGTTCATACATTTGATGACAAAAAACGTGGGTCGGGCAGATGGGTCGGGAAATTTGATGGTGAACGTATTATTATAGATAGCCTGTCAAAATAATGTGTTCAATTATAACCTAACCTTTGTTCAGCATTCTCAGCACCATAGCAGCTTTCACAGCGGTTTGGGTCTAGGGTTGTTGGTGCCTGCAAATGGATGTTAAAAGTCATCTAGTGAAAAACCTATCTACATGGTTTAGCTAGGGTAAGAAAAAAACATTTAAAAAAAAAACGTTTCAATAAAAAGCTATTATATAATTGTGCTTTAAAAAGGAGAAAATAAATTATTTGCTTTACATTATAAGTAGCGTACCGGTTCAGCGCATTACTGCGGTCTTAAAATAAAAATAAACCGGGAGTGATCTCCCTTAAACTTTCTTGAATATTCTTATATAACACAACGGGGGATGGCAACTCAGGATATAGACAATATTTTTAATCCATTTTTAATTACTTAAACTTTTTAAAATAGAATAGAATCTCATAGAAAAAAGAATTGCACACCAAGTGAATACCAAATAAAATGAGTATAATAGTGCAGAATATTATTAGTACTTTATAAATTCACATGCGTTTTTTGAGAAATCGGAAATACCCTAAATTACTACTTCCGGTCAACGGAAGTTACCCAAAATTGATAGAAGACAGAGAATTAGATCTTTTATTTATATTTGAAATTTCATTTATCTATCTGAAATAGTACTCAAGCTATAGGCTTTTTGAAAAATTGAAAGTAGAAAAAGTTCCAGTTACTGGAAATCGCTGAAAAGTTAATACAGATCTACAAATTTGATTTAATACTTATATATGAAATTTCATCAGCCTAGCTGTAACGGTACTCAAGTTATCGTGTTTACAGACACACACACACAGACAAGATTGCAAAACTATGTTTTTCTGACTCAGGGAGGTGTAAAACATCGAGATTTGCAAAAATCTCAAATTTTTTTTTTTTTAAAAACTTGATAATATTCGATGTACATTTTTATTAAAACTTATTTATCATTTTTAATATGGAAATATGATTAACATTAAAAACATTCACTTAACATTTTTATCGAAGCGTAGATAGCATTTTAACATGAAAATATTATAACATTCAGTGTACTTTATTGAAACATATTAACCATTATTATTTTGATGTGTCATAAACTGAGTGACTGACGCAACTGCTTCAATTTACTAATGGTGTACTTTTAGATGCATGATCTCAATTTCTGATTGGATCATGTAAAAATAAATGCAGTTTCCTCGCGTTACAATTTTTTTTAAAGAAGTGTGACCTTGTTTTCTAAAAGTGCGTTATTCATTGTAAACAATGCCGACACTATATTTCTTGGATCTTTGTTGTTGTGGCGCAGGTGTGTCCACACTATCGCCTAGACGTCACAGAGCGTGCTATAGGAAAGCCTAAGTGTATGTTAATCACCCTTCGTAATAGTCAGGGGCTTTGCTCTTGGGAGCCACCAGTTACACTACTGCAGGGGCACCAGGCATCTGGTTGGCTTAATCATCAACACTACTGCAGGGCCACCAGGCCTCTGGTTGGCTTAATCATCAAATGTCATGCCACCAGATGCACTACTGCAGGGGCACCAGGCCTCTGGTTGGCTTAATCATCAAATGTCATGCCACCAGTTACACTACTGCAGGGGCACCAGGCATCTGGTTGGCTTAATCATCAAATGTCATGCCACCAGTTGCACTACTGCAGGGGCACCAGGCATCTGGTTGGCTTAATCATCAAATGTCATGCCACCAGTTGCACTACTGCAGGGGCACCAGGCATCTGGTTGGCTTAATCATCAAATGTCATGCCACCAGTTGCACTACTGCAGGGGCACCAGGCCTCTGGTTGGCTTAATCATCAAATGTCATGCCACCAGTTACACTACTGCAGGGGCACCAGGCCTCTGGTTGGCTTAATCATCAAATGTCATGCCACCAGTTACACTACTGCAGGGGCACCAGGCCTCTGGTTGGCTTAATCATCAAATGTCATGCCACCAGTTACACTACTGCAGGGGCACCAGGCCTCTGGTTGGCTTAATCATCAAATGTCATGCCACCAGTTACACTACTGCAGGGGCAACAGGCCTCTGGTTGGCTTAATCATCAAATGTCATGCCACCAGTTACACTACTGCAGGGGCACCAGGCCTCTGGTTGGCTTAATCATCAAATGTCATGCCACCAGTTACACTACTGCAGGGGCACCAGGCCTCTGGTTGGCTTAATCATCAAATGTCGTGCCACCAGCTACACTACTGCAGGGGCACCAGGCCTCTGGTTGGCTTAATCATCAAATGTCGTGCCACCAGCTACACTACTGCAGGGGCACCAGGCCTCTGGTTGACTTAATCATCAAATGTCGTGCCACCAGCTACACTACTGCAGGGGCACCAGGCCTCTGGTTGGCTTAATCATCAAATGTCGTGCCACCAGCTACACTACTGCAGGGGCACCAGGCCTCTGGTTGACTTAATCATCAAATGTCGTGCCACCAGCTACACTACTGCAGGGGCACCAGGCCTCTGGTTGACTTAATCATCAAATGTCATGTGCAGCTGTGCCCCTATTTTAGGGTGCTCTTTAAAAGGAACCTAATTATAATAGGTGTCTGTACAAATCAGCAAGAAATATGTTGGCAATTTGAATATGTAGCAGCCTTCATATTAACTGTTTGAAACCAATTGTTTTTGGGAAGCTTCACATTTTTAAATTCAATTCACTTGAGTTTTAAAAAAAAAAAGAAATTCAATTTGATGCTAAATAATGTCCAAAGACAGCAAAATCTGGCATCAAGAATTAGTTTCAAATGTTTAAACACAGAATACAAGTGTAAACCAAATTACTTACAATTTCCACCTTGCTTCCTTCACCAATGGCTGCAATATAATAAGAACAATAACCAATAGTGATAATTTTAAAAATAAAAGTTATTTCCCTTCTTATTAATTCATTTTCATTAAGTCTAGTTTCAAGGTCTAGAAGATTTTTTTGACAGTAAGGTCACCTAGTGACCTACCCTGTATATCACCTAATGACCTACCAGGTGTATCACCCAATAACCTACCCTGTATATCACCTAATGACCTACCCTGTGTATCACCCAATAACCTACCCTGTATATCACCTAATGACCTACCCTGTGTATCACCCAATAACCTACCCTGTATATCACTTAATGACCTACCCTGTGTATCACCTAATGACCTAATGTGTATACCCTGGTCCTGTCATATTACTTACCCTGTACCTCTGGGGTGTCACTGATGGGGCTTCCATCTGGACCCAGTCTCATCTTTAAAATGTGTGCATCAATATCAATCTGAGACTCACCGCTCACATCCATAGCATCCAATGATATAACTGGAAACAAATTAATTGGAATCACAACCAGCCAATAATATAACTGGAATCACAACCAGCAAATGATATAATTGGGATCACAACCAGCCAATGATATAATTGGAATTACAACAAGCCAATAATATAACTGGGATCACAACCAGCCAATGATATAACTGAAATCACAAACAGCGATATAATTGGAATCACAACAAACCAATAATATAACTGGAATCACAACCAGCCAATTATATAATTGGAATCACAACCAGCCAATGATATAACTGGAATCACAACCAGCCAATAATATAACTGAGATCACAACCAGCCAATGATATAACTGAAATCACAAACAGCGATATAATTGGAATCACAACAAACCAATAATATAACTGGAATCACAACCAGCCAATTATATAATTGGAATCACAACCAGCCAATGGTATAATTGGAATCACAACAAAAGGATAAGAAAACCTAAATGATATATATATCATTGGAATCACAACCAGCCAATGATATAATTGGAATCAAAACAAAAGGATAAGAAAACCTAAATGATATATATATCATAGGAATCACAACCAGCCAATGATATAATTGGAATCAAAACAAAAGGATAAGAAAACCTATCGTATGTGATGGCCACCTTGCTATGTTGCATGTAATGGCCACAGCTCCATTATGGAAGATTTCACACATTTACATGTTTTAAAACTAGATCAAGTGTAGTATACTTACATCCACAGGCCATTTTGGGAAAAACAATATCAATATTTATTTTAATTTTCTGTCCTCTTGAAATGTCGACAAAAAGCTCTTGCTGGACGTCAAGTGTCAGGTAAAAGTTCAGCTCAGACATGAACAGCACAAACATCAAGACACCACTGATTATGGTCACTGAAACAAGTAAAAACACCACTGATTATGGTCACTGAAACAAGTAAAAAACACCACTGATTATGGTCACTGTAACAAGTCAAAACACCACTATTATGGTCACTGAAACTTAACATTGTCAACTTTTTTTTACCAAAAACAATATATATATATATATATATATAAGTATTATTATAGTCTAATTTTCCCCCCAAGGATTTTACCTATTACCAACCAAACAAACATGCATACAAAGTATTAAAAACTTTATATGCAGGGGTGGGTGGGTAATTCTCAGTACTCCTTGATGGTATTTAAATGTCGCAAGGCCTCCTTTGGTTCAAAAACCTCTATTTCTCTTAACATTCATTGCTCGCTTTCCAAAGAGGTACTTTTATTTTTATTAAGAGTCATAGTAAATGAGGTCAAACTCCAGAGGGGTGTGAGGAGGGTTTCAGAAAGTATAACAACACGCTTTCTAAGTTAATTAACTGCTAACCTAAGTTAAGTTTTTAGTAAAGTATTAACTAAGACACTAAGTACAATGTACTAAAGTACTAGACTAGATCTAGGTGATTGAAGTAGTATACAGTAACGTAAGTAGTGCCTAGTATTAGATCTAGCAAGTAAGATTTAGATCTAGAATTTTATATTTTAAAATTAAATGGCCATAAAAATAATTATTACATGCTGCGCCACCGTATGTTTTAATTCTAAAATCTTCCAAAGTTTTGGGATAAGCATCAAAGCGTTTTAATTTCTCAAAAAGACCTGAGAACTGCATTTTAGCGTTTTGTGTGTGTGTGTGTGTGTGTTAAAAATATAAAGATAACGAATGAGTTCAAGAAAACTAAAATCTGCGAATCGTATCTAATATCGTGTCGAGTTCTCTAAACCGGTTGTTGATACTTTATATTTCCTCTTTTACTACACATGCGCAGTATGCTTGAGAGAGAGAAAGTTATTCTGACGTGGACATCAAGTGTCCGTAAAATCTAGCAATGTAGGACTATTCACGTAATAGCTGAAACTGAAACGGAAAAAAAAAAATTACTCTGTGATCAGAAATCCGTCAAGAGATGCTCTCCGCAGGAGGGGAGGTGGGGGAAGGAGGGGGGGGGGGGGCGAAAGTGAATAAGGTTTATTCCATTTCTTTTCTTTTTCATTGTTTTCAAAACATTGTTTTCAAATATTGTTTTTCTATGTACTTTGTAATTAGATCTAGATACTAAAATTTAAAATGAAAAAAAAAAAACCCACTTAGGAAGTAAGAATCTTAGTAGATATAGATCTAGATCTAGATCTAAATCTAGGTCTAGATTATATATAATAAATAGCTTTGGTTGTTAAAAAATATTTCAAAGAGATTTTATGGCCAACCGACAATTAAAGTTGAAAAAATAGGCCTATGTTTTGTTTTGTTTTCATGCAGTTAAAAAATAATTTGCATTTTAATATATCCTAATCGCATTTCAAGGGAATTAGGCTAACCATTCCATGAGCCGCCCATGATTGCATTCATTATCATTCGAGCGTAACTAATAATCTAATACTATGACTGGTGAAACAAAAGTTGCCACCATTCCGTCCTAATTTATTTGATTCTTAATTAAATGGGCAATTATTTGGTCTGAGTGCAGATTTAATTTGCCGAATAAATTAATCAAGGCAAAAAAAAAAAATAAATCAATTCTGTTTGCGAGGTTAGTAGACTTACATTTACAGCAGATGAGAGGTGGGATTGTTTTACTAGTGTGTTGACGAGAGGCAGGGGCGGTACCACAGCGGCGCAAACCCCGCTGTGCAGGTTGGTGGAAGGTTGGTGAAATCCAAAACCAACAAAAATATGTTTGAAAATCAAAGTTCAAATGATTGTTACGATAAATCTTTGTATTGATTCTGTTTCTTAAAAAAATAACAACCTACCTGAGCTGGAGTTATCTTTATTCTATAGTCACTAACCTGGGCTATCATTATGTATGTTTTGTATGTTTTTTTGCCGTCGGCCTTTCTCCTCTCGGCCTTGTCCGTCCACATTGTATGTTGTTGTCGATTGCGTGAGTAGTAGTCTTCGTACCGTATCGGCTTTTTGTCTTGATCCTATGCTTTGTGGTGTAATAAATGTGGGGAGTAAAGGTGGTTACACAATTGTTGCGATGGGTTGTGGACAGCAAATCACATCAGCTGTTTTCTTCCCGCGCACAACAAGGCCATTGGCGGAACTGGAAAATAGGCTTCGTAGCCGATCAAACACTATTTTCTATGTAAGACAAGAAAATAGTGTTAATTATATATATATATATATATATATATATATATATATATATATATATATATATATATATATATATATATATATATATATATATATCACCCCATGCGAATGGCTTTCTCTGTTTCTGAATTAATTATTTAAACCACTTCCTAATTTAGTAAAATTTAATCTATTTTATTGCATATCACGAAATAACAAATCAAACTCAATTTTGTTTTAACTCATTTCGGGCAAGATATAATCGTGTCTTTAAAACGTTTATATCTCTTTCATACCTTTATTTAAAAAATAATTTTATTTTCCATATCTCACTAGATCTATGCCAGCCTAATATTGTGGAAAAAAATTTACTGACAAAGCGGTCAAAAGTATTTAAACACAGAGGTTTGATTGTGTTTGTTTTATTCTTGTGTTTGAACGCATTCCTTTTTGACAGCGGTGTCATTCCTTAGTAAACCTTGATTCAATGATAATTTACCGAAAAAGTTGTTTTTTTTTTAGTTTGCTTAGTACAAAATTACTAAAATGAGCTTTTTGGGCACCCCGATTATATTATTTGAAAGGGGTCTTTTTCTTCTTCTTCGTTCTTAATTATTAGTGTTGAAGGGGATCGAGATTTATCTGCCAGTGGGTTTGAACTCGAGACTGTTCGAATTTATCAACCATGAGCTTTTTGCCGACTCGACCACGCCTCCAACACAATTAAGCGGTACGTGTCAACTAGTTATGCGCCATTGAGGCCATTGACTCCGATTTCAGCCTGCTTTTCTTTTTGGATTTGCTTCCATAGCCTTTGTCCAACCAAGAACAAACTACAAGGCAGCAGTTGTTTAATTTTGGAGTTGTCTCTCCTAGAAAAGTGGCTGTCCCCAGCTAACGAGCCTCATCTGCCCGAGGGTTCGAACTCGAGACTTTTCGGTTTAGCAACCATGAGCTTTACCGACTCGACCACACCGACCCCTTGAAAGGGGTGATAAGCCATGAAAGAGTTTGAAGGTTTGCCTATCTTTCACACTACAGCTCATGTAGTTTATTCAACCACTGAAGTGCCACGGAGTCTGCGTGAAACAGAGCGTAAAGGCAGTTGATGATCTCCAAACATTCATGGAAGCCGCCGCGTGACTTATTAATCTAATGTAAAGAACTAACGAGAGCTGTTGAATGGTCAGCTTTGTGAGCACAGAAATAACGAGCGGCCATTTTTGTTGACCCTACCAGTGATGGTGCCATCAATATTCAGTGTGGAGACGCCCACCTGCCGACAAAACAAGGGCGGTAATTAGGTTTGTTTGTTTGTTTGTTTGTTTGTTTGACGCTGGTGACTCACCTGTCGGCGTCGTTAGCTTGTACTCTCTAAACCAACCAGAAGTCACCCAAAAGTTGGTTCAAATCTTGTACTCTCTAAACCAATATGGTCGCTCGTAGGGCCGGAGTGTGGAACTTCTGTACAAGCCAATATGGCCGCCGATGGGCCGATTCACTCTCTCATTACTAGGATTTTAAACACTTTAGTCCCGACAGCACTTAATCAACGATCAAAGCGAATCACTAACTTCCAATTATGTTTCTCACCCAATTGAAACTAACAGCTTAGATCTGGTGTCTGGGCTAATTGATGACGTCAATAAGTTGGGAGGATCTACCTGTTTTACCCTGAGACAATAAGTTGGGAGGATCTACCTGTTTTACCCTGACACAATAAGTTGGGAGGATCTACCTGTTTTACCCTGAGACAATAAGTTGGGAGGATCTACCTGTTTTACCCTGACACAATAAGTTGGGAGGATCTACCTGTTTTACCCTGACACAATAAATTGGGAGGATCTACCTGTTTTACCCTGACACAATAAGTTGGGAGGATCTACCTGTTTTACCCTGACACAATAAATTGGGAGGATCTACCTGTTTTACTCTGACACAATAAGTTGGGAGGATCTACCTGTTTTACCCTGACACAATAAGTTGGGAGGATCTACCCTGACGTCAATAAGTTGGGAGGATCTACCCTGACGTCAATAAGTTGGGAGGATCTACCCTGACGTCAATAAGTTGGGAGGATCTACCCTGACACAATAAGTTGGGAGGATCTACCTGTTTTACCCTGACACAATAAGTTGGGAGGATCTACCTGTTTTACCCTGACACAATAAGTTGGGAGGATCTACCCTGACGTCAATAAGTTGGGAGGATCTACCCTGACGTCAATAAGTTGGGAGGATCTACCCTGACGTCAATAAGTTGGGAGGATCTACCCTGACACAATAAGTTGGGAGGATCTACCTGTTTTACCCTGACACAATAAGTTGGGAGGATCTACCCTGACACAATAAGTTGGGAGGATCTACCTGTTTTACCCTGACACAATAAGTTGGGAGGATCTACCTGTTTTACCCTGACACAATAAGTTGGGAGGATCTACCTGTTTTACCCTGACACAATAAGTTGGGAGGATCTACCTGTTTTACCCTGACACAATAAGTTGGGAGGATCTACCTGTTTTACCCTGACACAATAAGTTGGGAGGATCTACCTGTTTTACTCTGACACAATAAGTTGGGAGGATCTACCCTGACGTCAATAAGTTGGGAGGATCTACCCTGACGTCAATAAGTTGGGAGGATCTACCCTGACGTCAATAAGTTGGGAGGATCTACCCTGACACAATAAGTTGGGAGGATCTACCTGTTTTACCCTGACAATTGCCAGCTGTTTAAAATGAACCCAAGCTAAAAAAAAAATATGCACGGGTTTCATAATAAAGTATCAATTTGAGATCGATAATTTCTTCATTTTCTTGTTGAAATTATCTCCCCTGCATGGGTTGATTTCCCCTTGTATGGCTGGACCAGCCAATGTGATTGATGCCACGATCCAGCACTGCTACCTCTTGTTGCTTCAAATGGAAGGGGAATTATTCTTTATTAAGCAGAAATTGTAGAAATTTGTTCTGGCCATATTGAGTTTTTAATTAGCTTTGTTGGGCACTAGCAGCGTTCAGGGCAAATGTTTGGCTGTTTTAGGGAGTGAAATTAGTTGGGGTGCTTTAGTGGTGTTAGGGCAAATATTATCTCTGGGCCTTCCAGTCTTACCCCCCCCCCCCCCCGATATTATCTCTGTGGGCCTTCCAGTTTTAAGAAGTCTCAGACCCCCCCCCTCACCCAACGTATGAGCTTAAATATTTTGACCAGAGCTCACAATGAACGTGAGTTGTTTGGGGCAGCCTTAGTTAGCACACACACACACACACACAATGATTTACACATTTCTAAAAACAGATTCCTTCCTAAGAATTGGTAGAAGGATTCTAGAAGTACGATGACTCGCACCAATGTGCAGCCATGTACAACAATGTGCAGCTATGTGCAACAATGTGCAGCTATGTGCACCAATGTGCAGCTATGTGCACCGATGCGCTAGCAACAGACCAGACGTCTGTAAACACGTTGAAGCAGACGATCAAACAGCTTTGTCGTCTGCTGATGGCAGACATTTTTTTTTTATAACTGCCAACCAGTTAGGCTGAAAGGGAGGGAGGCTCACGGAAAACAAAGCTGTGTTTACATTGTGTGTGTTTCTGTGGTAGGCCATGGTGATCTCCTTTATTTTTGGTAATCCACG